GGCTGCTGTACTTGACCGAAGTGGTGAGCCCATCCACGACACCCCTCAGCCCCTCTGCGCGCCAGGTGGCCGGCGTGGCAACGAAGGCACACGGGACGACAAAGTGCACCATCATCAGCGCCGCGTCCGTGTAGCGGTCCAGCAACACAAGCTCCAATGACCTGATGAACAGAACAACACACATACAGGACCAGTGAGTGCATGGCTGGTCGTCTACTCTGCACCATGCACCCAATGTTGCAATCACTGATCTGCCTGTCTGCCTATGTTTGTGTGTCGTTCAGTGCAGCACTGATCTCTCCAGCCTCGGCCCCCCGGCTACCTAGCCAGGGGGCCGTCAGTCCGCCCGTCGTGCATGCAATCTCATCCACACGACGCACCCCACAGCCACCCCCTCCCCCCATCCTCTCCCTTGCTCACCTTTTGAGCATCAGCAGCGGCGTCTTCTTGGCGTCGCCTCCCCACGGCAGCCCTCCCTCCTCCTCACGCAGCCCGCTGTCTCGTCCCGCCTCCATGCGCCACTCCATCGCCCCCCAGAAGTGACATGACCACCCCAGCCACGCCGCCATGTGCAGCAAGCTGCTGTTGCAGCCCTCAACCGTGCCGTCGCACAGACCCCTGATCCACTCGCCCAAATGTTTGGGCGATGACAGGATGCCGTAGTAGTCCTTGGCAAAGCCCGGTGTGTCGTGATTGCGGTCGGATGAAGGGTCCAGGAAAACTGGCGGCTTGTCGGGGGGGTCAAGTCGGTACTGCAGCAGTGGTAGGGATGGGTGGCTGTAGCCTTTGCGGTCATCGTGGTCGGTGCCCTCGTCGGTGGTGGACGGGTTGAGCAGCGCCATGCACTCCATCGCCCATCTGTCGATCTCCAGCCGGGTCTTCTTGCTCTTGGCGTCCATCCGATTCATGTAGCGGCCGGGGATGCGAGCAAGACATGACATCAGCAGCAGATGCCGCCGCCGACTCGCAGCCCCCCGCCTGTCCTCACCATCGCGGAACATGGGGTCACGCCCCGCCGCCTCGCAGACCTCTTTCATGACATACATGCCGGCCTTGATGACGCCGTCGGGATGATCGTTGTTCTCCAGCCAGCAGGCGACGACCGAGAGGTCTTCCACGGTGGGGGCCCAGCCAGACGGCGAGGCGAGGGACTTTGCGAAGGGGAGCTCGTGGACGAGGTATGGCAGGAGCGGCGCGAGCCGGTGTCTGTGTCTGCTGAGCGTCCAGAGGATGAAGGAGAGGGTGAAGGGGTAGAGGTCTGCCAGGGTGGCCAGCTGGTTGGCGCATGTCTTGAGTCGAGCCTCGAGGGATGCCGGTGCGCCGCTGTCCGAGGAAGGACCCAATAGACACACCTGCAGCAAAGCAAGGAACGCTTCAGTGTATGTCAGTCACTGCAGGCAGGGTGTCCTCGAGCGTGGTCGCTTTTGAGTCCTCACCTGTATGACCTCGTGGCACACCACGAGGCACATGGGATCCCCCTTAGTCACACCCAGCCGCGTCAAGAAAGCCAGCACCACCTCCAACGCAATCTCGCCCCTGTCCAGCCGCTCACTCAGCACCACACTGAAGCCACACCGCTCGGCAAGCGCCGAAGGGCGGTAGGTGGCCGACCTGAGCAGCCACTTCTGCAGCGTGAAGACGGGCGCCACTGGCCGGAGTGAGCTGTTGATGAAGTCCTCGTACGTGCCACGTGTGGGGGGCGGGGCGGCCGTGGGGGAGACAACAGAGACGGTGGGGGGAGAGGGGGCGTTCAACACCGCCCAGAGGATTCCCCAAACTGACAAGACAGGGAAGGGGGTCCAAACATGCACAGCAGCCTCCGTGTGTGTGTGTGACCTGTCTCGAATCTCATGAGCTGCACGGGCAGGTCGACGAGGAACTTCTGAGAGGTCTTTGAAGCCATGAGGGTGGGTATGGCCCGCAGCACGAGCAGATTGAGCTCCTTCTCCAGCCGCCCCCTCTTGGCTTGGTCCACGTCGAGCAGAGTGCATGTAGTCATGACCTGTGCCGCCACTCGCGAGAGGGTGTAGACCAGAGCGTGGCTCAAACGGGTCACCAGCGCAGGACTGTCACACGACACACGCAATGTACCTGTACGGCGAAACACACACAGGTCAGTCAGTCAGCAGAGACGCATTGGGTTGTGTGTTGCTGCATTACGTCTGTCTGTGTGTGTGCCCGCCACATACATACATACCTTGCTGAATGGTATCACACAGATGCCTGACGCAGGCCAGGGCATTCAGCCACTCCACGTAAGGCGACACACTCCCTGCACACACACACACGCACAGACAGACATGTGGTGCGCCCATGGCTGGCTGGCTGGCTCACTTTGCGGCGTGTAGAACAGGAAGTCGAGGAATGAGTGAAAGGGCAGCTGCTCAAATAATGAGATGAAGTCGGACTCGGTCAACAAGAGGGCGCCTTGATCGGGCACCACACACCAATCGTCATCCTCTGCTGCACAACACCACCACACACACACACACACAGAGAGAGAGAGAGAGAAAGCATCAACGCCCGTGTGGGTACACAACACACACGTATCACATGCATGGCATGCAGGACTGAGTGTCTCTGCGGTTTCCCAGGAGGTGCGTCGGTGTGTGTGTGCGACCCCTCCAGAATGCGCAGAGTGCGTGTGTGTTACTATAGCACCCCTGGGTATGCCTTGCCCCTCACGTCGGTCAAACCAGAGGGCAAAGGGAACTATGAGTGCCTTGCCTCACTCATCTCGCCCCCCTCTATCTCTCTCTGGCTGACTACGCGTGTGCCTGTGTGTGTGTGTGTCCGTACCTTTTTCGGGTGGCTTCTCCGGCAGCGGCCTCACCACAGCAGACAGCAGCGTCAAGAAATAGTCGCGGGACTGAGTTGTCCAATGGGTCACTACACCATCACTGACATGAGGGAACCCAACACACACACCCACACCACTGTCCGCATCACCACCATCGCCCCCCGCATCAGCAGCCACGCTGGTCGGGAGCTGCAGGAAAGGCGCCGCCCACTCGCACACGCCCTGGCCGCACCGCAGCAGGTGCTGCGCCAGGAAATAGTGGTCGGAGAGGGGCGCCACACGCAGCATGGCACCCACGATCGGCGAGCTCCAGCCTTGCAGGTGTGTCATCATGGCCTCCTCGACGGCTTTGGGTGTGGAGACCAGGCGACACGGGCCACGCAGGAACCAAAACACGGCATCCAATACTGAGTGAGTGCACGACACAAACACATGAAGGAAGGCATACATACACACAAGGCAAATCAATCACGACAGGCAGACGGGCGATCGCTGTCTCTGTGCTTCTCACTCACAGACTTACCCATTCTAGCTCTAGCGAGAGCATCACGCAGGTTGTATCGGTCCTGATGCAGCCCCCCTTGCAGCGCGCCGTAGTGAATCCAATGCACCACGGGCAGACCGCTGTAGTCCCCTCTTGTCGGATCCTCACACACGTCGTCCACTTGACGAAGCGCATCATGATCGCGCTCGCCAACCCCCGGCTCTCCCCGCTCGGCCGCGTAGCCGCACGCCGCCAACAGCAGCCTCTGCAGCGTCTGCTTGACGTACCGGTCGCAGTCGCGTTTTGCCTCCCGGAATGCGAAGACGGCATCGGCGCTCTGTACGGGGAGGGTGCATCGGGCGCCCCGCAAGCTCTTGGAGAGGGTGTCCTGCCTTGACGGCTGGTAGTCGAATCGCTCGAAGCTGTGTGTGGCGGTGTGGTGGTGGCCGCAGTGGATGCAGTAGGTGCTGTCCGTTATGGTGGCCGTCCTCTTGCTCCACAGCTGGCCCTCGACTTCCTTGAGCAACTCGATCCGCCTGGAAAGCACCTCCAAGTTGAACCGATGCAGGGCGTCGCAGGTCTTCCAACACCGTTGCAGCAGCAAAAAGAAGGGATTGCTGCCCTCTGCCGGGTCCATGTGGCGGTTGACAAACTCACTCTCGCTCATCTCGAAGACAGCGATCACCTCATTGCGGTAGGTGGCCACGGTGGCCGTGTCGACGACTTCACGCTGTAGCATCACCTCGTACGCCTCCAGCGAAGATGACACCACGCCAAGGCTCTCCTCCTCCTCTGCTGCTGCTGAAGTGACGGCGTCCTGCGTCTGCGGCACCTGGTGGATGGGAAGGAACTCCGAGGACTCGACAACAGTGGCCATTGGGGGGGCAGAGGCTGTCTTGTCACTAGTGTCGATGACAGCCGCGGATGGGAACGATGACTTGCTCGACATAGTCTGCTCTGCCTTAATCACTTCTGGGCTCTCAGGCGGCTGTACCAAAGGATAGACGAGCGACTGCTCCTTCGCAGACTCATCCTCCCTCGTAGCACTCACAGCACGAGCCTCCGTCGCCGGTTGTTCCCTTTCTTGCTGCGCCAGCTCAGTCAGCCGCGGAAGGGACTCAGCTGCAGGCCTGCCAATGACGGCTTCCTCCACACCCGCCGCCGGCTCTTCTCTCTCCTCCACCACACCTTCGTCCCCCGCTGGCTGACTCGCCTGTAAAGCATCGACTGGCCGGCTCTCCTCAGATGCCGCTGCTGCTGGTGCAGCTGGTGCCGCTGGTTGGTCGTTGACGACTGGTACTTCTGGTTCTGGAGGGCGGAGCAGCTCGAGGATCTCCGCCTCTGTGGGTGCCTCGGGAGGCAGACCAAGAGGCCGCTCAGCTCTCTCCTTGTCCTTCTTCTTCGGCTGCTTCACGGCAACAGCCATGGCCAGTCACTGGAGGAGCACCTGAATGAATCAGATGAACACACGTACATCCGCAATGAAGCACGCACCAGCCAGAGCTTCAGTGTGTATTCATTCACCTCAGGAAGACAGATCTGTCTGTGTCGCGGCAATCAATGTGCTGCTACAGCTTCGCTCTTCGTCGGAAGGCGGATCGTTAACAATAATGAATCGGATGTGCACTGAGAATGCTTTTGTCTTCACCTGCTTGCCCTTCTGCTTCTTTTAACCCGCCATCATTTTGCGAGCTTGGCGATCGCAGGAAAAGGTGTCGAAAAGCACGGCAAAGCAACGGGTTTTGCATCCCTCAGGCCTTCATGGAAGGGAGTATGATGGCACAGAAGGAGGGAGCCGACGGCACCGTTGCTTCGACGCTCGATGAAGCCCGGCTCTACCCACCCCACAACACAATGCCGCCCGACACATCCGATCTCGCTGCATCAGCCCAGCCTCCCATCACCAAAACACACGATGCGGCAGCCGTCAATCGCGCGCCATCGGCAATCATGCAGGACGGCCAGGAAACCGGTGCTGTGGTGACGGCTGTGGTGAGCATGATGGCGTCCAGCATGGTGTCCAATGAGGCTGGGGAGGGGGCGGTTGAGGGCATGAATCGCACATCGTCTGAGAGTGGTGACACCACGGTGATGCTGACGCGGCGCCTCCTCGAGTTGGTGCAGGGGCTGAACCGGCAGATGGACCTGGCCGAGGCTGAGAAGATGCTGCAGGTGCACCGCAGTCGCCTCTACGACATCACCGACGTGTTGGAGGGCATCGGCGTCATCACCAAGACCGATGACAACATCTTCAAATGCACGTAAAGACGCATATATGGGGTGGCAGGCAGCAGGTCTGATTCCTTTGCAATATGTGTGTGTGTTTGGCGTTCTGCTCAGGCGTGGGATTCCCCCTCTGTTGTTGTCGTGTGAGATGAGTGTTGAGGAGCAGCTGGCGTCGCTCAAGCAGGAGGAGGCAATGTTGGACCAGCAGCTGGCGCAGGCGGCCAGCCGACAGAAGGAGACACTGGATGAGGCTAAGCAGCAAGGGTCAGACAGGACGGCTAAGGGAGAGGAGCGGGGATAAATGCTGCCCTCATGGCATTGGATGTGTGGGTGGGTGTGGTGTGGTGTGCAGTGTGTGTTACGTGCCGACCGAGTATCTGCATGAGTTGTGTGAGTACCGTGACAAGTCGATGCTGATCCTGGGGTCGCCTTTCGGCACCAAGGTCGACGTCGTATGTGATGCGGTGGAGGAGACGGTACAAAGAACCACACGCACACATGGCCGTCCGTCCATACAGGCAGGCATATGTACATCTACTTGTGTCTGTGTCTGTGTCTGTCTGTGCGTATGTATCTTGATGTGCAGGTGCAGAAGCCTGACGGTGAGTGTTTGACGGTGACGCAGCACATCCCGAGGTGCATCCACATATCCAGCCCCACACACACCGACCCCATACACATCGACCTGCTCGACCGCACGCCGCAAAACACACCCGTACACACACATACTAACACGCATATCGCAGACAGGCAGGAACAAACCACCCTCTCTCGTACTTGTGTGTATGTGTTGCTTGTAGGATGTGTCTCAGCCTGCTGTGCATGCGTCGTCGGTTGGCGCCGCCATCCAGCTGGATGTGGGCATCGCACGGAGTGGAGTGATGGGAGGGAGTGAGGAGATGGCTGCAGCTGAGACCACTCATAAAAGCGTGGGGCAGAACGTGGTCAGCTCGGAGAGAGGCACAAGGGAGGAGATGATATCTTCGCGTCTCATCTCATGCCATCCATCCTCTGTGTGTGCGTGTGCAGGTGGGTGTGCCTGTGGGGTGTGTCTCTACCAAGACCGATTCGCACACCGAAATGGACCGCACGAACGGCACACAGAACAATCCAAGTAAGGAATGGGATGGGGAGGGGAGGAACGCAGGGACACAGTGTCCATGGTGTGTCTTTGCGCCTCTGCGCAGTGGCGGTCGCCGACCCTGTCGCTTGACATACAGACGACACAACATCGATTCAGTCCGATGCTCCGGTAAGTACTCTCAGTGGACAGCACCGATATGCTATGCTCGTGTTTTCTCTGACCATGCATGGCATTCCTTGAAGTTCTGTACAGTCAAGTCAGGCCTCTTTCGGGCGTCTTCGGCCCACTCACTGTGCAGATCTGAGGAGCCGGTCGTGTGCACACAGATTTTGCCCCTTCATGTGCGTGCGTGGCTGCATCAAGACCCGACAGACAGATGGATGCACGGGTGGAGCTCCAGACTTCGTACAATGATTGATTGATGGTTTGATGTAACAACAAGAAGGCAAAAAGGACGCAAATCGCCGGTCCGATTGCATGCAGTACTCTGTGTGTGTGTGTATGTCAATTCACAAACATAACACAAATTACGTACGTACTGAGCCTAGTATCTCTTTCTCTATCTCTCTCCTATACAAACCAAACATGCGCACAATAAATCTCCTACACGTACCGGCCAGCCAGCCAGTCAGCCATGTACCTGTCTGTCTACCATTGCTCATGCGTCTCTCTACACCTAACCATCACGGGCCGCCAGGCTGCCTGGCTGAGTGCCTGGCATCGACGGAGGGGGTGTCCCGCTCAGGCACATACATCTCCGCCTTCTCTGCTGCTGCAGTCTCGAGCTGAGGCTGCTCTGCCGCCTTGGCCACGCTAGTGTCAGATGGTGCTGGAGCTGGCGCTGCCTGCTGTGGAGCCTTCGCTGCCGTCTTGTCTGACGGGGCCTTGTCCCGTTGGGATGCATTTGCTTTCGCCTTGTCAGATGATGGAGGGGCGGCGATCTCTTTGACTTCGGCCGCTGTCAGCTCGTGCTGAGCACCCTTCGATGATGGTCCATTGGCTGCCTCATTGTGAACAGTGCCGCTACCGTTCCCGTAACCACCGAACACCTAATAATCACATGACGGCAAGAGACACACACACACACAAGAGAGTGGTGGTTCGGTGAATGCACCCCCCCTGTGTGTGCTGGCCGGCGAACCTTGTCGTAGAAGGTGTTCATGAGTTCCATTTCCTGCTCCTGCACCACCCTCCATGTCTCGGAGAGAGACTGGTGCAGCGACTTGCTCAGGTCGTCGAAGGTCCTGCTGCCCCACAAGCTGCTGTCGTCTTCACCCCACAGCCAATTCCACATGCTGCCAGACGACCCTCGTGAAGGCGCCTGTTCAGACGATGAGTTTCTGCTGCTGGGAAGGTCGCGTGCGTGGGAGCCGTTGCTGGACTTCTGGTGGGTGCCCTTGGTGTGCGGGGACAGGAACTACACACACACACGCACAAAGGGAATGGTAATGCCAAAGTAGTATGTGTGTCTTGTGTCTCGTTATGTGTACCAACCGGGTCAGCGTCGATGAATCCCATGGCAGTGTCCAGGACGTCCCCCATGCTGTCGATCGCCTCATCCACCATCGCCATGCTCGCGTCGATCATCGCCATGCTGTGGTTCATCAAGGCAGCCCGGTCAGCCTCGCTGAGCTTGGTCGCATTCGCCTGATCCTTGGTGCCGTCATACACAAAGGTCTCGCTGAATGAGTAGCCCTCCCCACCGGGCCCCGTGGCCTCGTGCACCGTGCTGCTCTGATAGACGGGCCCGTCGGAGTCCTCATGGTGTCGCGTGATGTGGGTCGTGTCGCCGTCAATGGAAAAGTCTACGAAGGACGGGGGCGGCGTCACTGCTGCCTCATTTTCAGCCTCCTTGTCCTGAGTGCGTGACAGTCGGCGCCCCTCCAGCTGTGGCTCGAGCGAGGCGGGGATGACGAGCGAGTCTATGTAGTAGATGACGCCGTTGCTGCCGCGCTGCTCGATGGGCTTAGCCTGGTCCATGACCACATTGGCCTGGCCCACCGTGAATCTCGCAGCGGCGGAAGAGCCGTCGGCCTTGGTGGACGACTGCTGTGAGATGTCGACTGCGTCGCCGAGGATGGATGAGACCTTGGCTGTGGCGAGGTCGGCGGCAGAGAGGGTGTCTTTGACGATGTGGTGGGACATCACCTGGCCGAGCAGCTCGGGATCCTTCGACAACCTGGTAGTGATATATATCGACACGCACGACCACACGAACGAATGAGCATATGCACGTGTGTATACGTCTGTCTGTGCATGTTGATGTGGCACTTACTTGGTGAGTACTTGCTTGCCGAGGGAGGTGAATGCCCTGTTGACGGGTGCGAAGATGGTGTACTGGCCGCTGCTGCGGGACAGGTCTGCGAGGAGGGACCCGCTGCCCTCACCGCGCTGTCTCAGAGCACTGTAGAAGCTCAACAGATGCTGGCAGGCAGACAGGGGACACACAATATTTATGGGTGGGGCGGGTGGGCGTGTGCTGAAAGAATGTGTGTAGTGAGGAGCTCACGGGGTCCTGTCGAATGATCTCGCCCACGGTGCGGGTGTTGAGCTTTGGCCTCCCATTCTTGTCCTTCGGCTCGGCCTCGCTGTCCGGTGCCTTTGCGGGCTTCTTTCGCTGCTCCTCGATGGCGAGTTTCTTCCTGACAGCAGTCTCCACCCCCTCACGCATCTCGTCGTTGGACATCTTCTGAGGCAGCTTGACGGTCTTGGTGGCCTCCTTGCCGCTGCTATCCTCAGCTTCTTCAGCCTCCCCCTTTTTGTCTTTCTCCTTCTTGTTGTCCTTGGTCTTGTTGCTCTCCTCTTCTTTGTTGCTGGTCTTTGTCTCTGTCTCGGTCTCCTCCGCCTTGTCCTTCTCCTCATCGACGGCCATCCTCTTGCGCATGGCCTCCTGGATGCGCTTGCGCATCTCCTCATGAGACACCTTCTCCGACACACCGGCCCTCCCGACCTCAGCCTTGTCACCCTCAGCCTTGTCGCCCTCATTCTTTCTAGTCTCCTGCTCGCCAGCGAGCTGCTTGACGATGTCTTCGATGGACAGCGGCGCCTCATCGTTGGCTTTGTCCGCGCTCAGCTCGGCCTGCTGTGGCTCAGGCTGGCTGTCGTTCTTGCTGTCGGACGGCTCCGTCACTTCGTCGTCGGCTGGGGCCATGGTGGCATCCTCTGTGGCCTGCTGTTGCTTCTGCTGCTGCTGTTGCTGCTGCTGCTGCTGCTGCTGTTGGTCCTCCACCGGCTCTCGCGGCATGAGACTGAGGGCCATGTGGGGCAGCAGGATGGTGTCCACGATGTGCACGTAACCCTTGACACACACACACACAGACAAGACCCATTCAGTCCACATCAGAGTGATAACGCCTTGGTGCCCACCCACCCACCCACATTGTATGACTCGATATTGGGCTCGAGAACTGTGACGACTGGGCGGCCTTCCTCCTCCTCCGGCCCCAGGTCGACGGTGAAGCTCTTGTCGTCGATCTTGGTGATGGGGATCTTACTGTGCGACACCGTGTAGATGTGGCCCTTCTCCATGAACTCATTGACAGTGTACGGACGCGCCAGAATGTGTTGCAAAAACAACTGAAGGGAGGGATGAATGAATGACACACAGGTACGGTGGTGGTGGAGTCGAGTCGGGTCTGGTGGTCTGCATCTCACTCACTCAGTCACTCACTGACCGTAGAGAGGGCCTCTTTGTTCTCCAGTAGGGGCTGCATCATGGGCTGTTCGAACACGCTGTTGGGGATGGCCAGCACTGAGAACCACGTGTTGGCGCTCAACGTCCGGTTGAGACCCATCTGCTTTACCAGATCAGCAAACGTGCTCAACTCCTGAACAGGGGGGAGAGAGAGACACATAACAAACACGATGACGATCATCAATCACACGAGATCTGCCCGCTTGTCCTCACTCACCTCTCTGCTGTCTATGATGGCCATTGTCGTCTTGGCCTTCGGCGCCTTCGGCTTGGTACCAGCAGCGGGCTGCGCGCCGCCGCCGCCCCCCCCGGCCTGTCGCAACCCCTGCTCCACCATCTTGCGCACGTCGACGCCCTTTGTCTCCGCACTCGTCCGCACACACTGCCCCTGTTCGTTGGTGGCGTACCCCTTGGCCGTGCACACACACTTGAACTTAACGCGCTGGCGGGCCAGGAACGGCTGACGCGGCTGCTGCATCCGCTGATGATAGGACTCCAGCTCGTTGGCGGACACCAGCATACAGGTCTCCCCCTCGGTGCAGGCACGGTCGCACTGGCCCAGCGCCGCAGCGGCCCCTGCGGCTGGACCCTGGCTTATCACCTGCTGCACCGCGCTCATGGGATCGCCCGACGCGAATTGGGTGGCCAGATTTCCAGCCACGGATGGCAGCGATGCAATCGACGGCATGGATGGCACCTGGTTGCCGGCAGTCAGCATGGCGGTGGCTGCCGCGTTGGCCGCCCTGCCGATGCGCCCGCCAGCACCGCGCTGCACCAGGGAAGCGCCGGGCACTGTGGCCAGCCGGGGAAGAGCGGTTGCATAGAGCAGACAACTGACGACAAGTAGAGTGACAAATTGCATCTTCGCCTCGGTCATTGTGCTGTGTGGACGGATGGCCTAGCCTCTACGCGCTGCTTTGAGCGCGATGCATGGGTGCCTCCTTCACGTCGTTTCCTTCACTTCGTACACACACTGTAACTAACCCCAACGGCTAGCGAGCTATTTAGCGATCCACGAGACATGAACTGGCGAGGCAACCGACGCGTTCTCTTTCGCAAAGAGAAGCGACATGATGACCAGCGCTGCGTGCTAGTCTGTGTGTCTGGTGTTCATTCGCTCGCGGCCGGGTGAAAATAATAGTACGGTGGTACAAGTGACTTTGGTCGAATTTGAGGAGTCGAACAAATTCATGCATTACAATGCATCATTGGATGGACATACAGACAAATTGCGGCCGGCTGTGTACATCTACATATGTGTTTGTGTGTGTGTGTGTGCGGTTGCCACACAGAGGACAGACAGGTGTCTGTCTACACCCCACACACACGTGGGCCGGGCCGGCACCACCCACTCATGTGCTGGTCACAAAGTGGGTATCTCATGGCCCATGCACCACCCGATCTCCATGCAGCTCTTGAAGCGGTAGCTCTCGGGAATGTTGCCAGTGGGGAAATTCCTGTCAGCCCACGAGTAGACACGGTCAAGCTGCACACAATGGGCGCACGAGAGAGACAGCTGTGGATGCTTCTGAAGTGTGTGGCTTGCCAACCAAGCAATCGCGGTTCGCGGGATCGGCCAGGAGCAGCCGTACTTCGTCAGTGTTGTATCTGAACCCTGGCTCCATCAGCAGACAAAATGGCTGCCGACATCAACCAACCAACATACACACACACACACACACGTTGAGTACACCAAGATGGACTAACGGCCTGCCCGTTCACTCGTTGGTACCGTCTCATGTTTCCTGAAGCCACCCGGAATGATGTTGAGGCTGTCGTTCAGCTCCATGTGCTCTCTGACGGCATCACGCTCCGCTCTCATTGCTGGCATGAGTGCTTGGCGCTTCTCTTTGTCCGTCCCGTCCGCAGGGAAGTGGCCGACATAACCGAAGGAGAGCTCAACCTTGCAGACGGCGAAGGCAAAACACTTCAGCGAGCAGCCCAGCGACAGCAGATGTGGCGGGGCCGGAGTCTGATTCGCAACTCCCAGGAAGTCGAGAACCTGACGCATATGGCCACTCTTGCTACCGACGCTAAGGTGCACACACACACAGTCAGACACACCATACACACAGATGGATTGTCTCCACGGATGCCTGCTGCCCGCTGGTCTTCCTTTGAGGTGCTTACAATGCCTCGATGGGAGGACATACGAGTTGTTTGCAGTCGAGGTCGCCGTCGCCGTCGCCGTCGTCCGCTGACTGCGGGAACCAGCGGCTCATGCCACTGTAAGTGCAGCTCAGTTTGTCCCCCAGCTCACTCAGCTGGGGGACAGATGCCTGCAGCTTGTGGAAGGTGTCCGCCGGCCCGACCATCTGCACGACAAACGAGATCCTCAGCGATGTCGCTGTGCAGCCGCCCTCCGTCTGCCCACCTTTGCATTGTATTGGACGACGATTTGGTTGTCCGAACGGGCCTCGCGCAGCAGCCGTCCCCAGTCGCAGAGGGGTGGATGCCACGACGCCTCCAGCCGCTCGATGGCAGGCAGCACCAGCTCCCGTTGCACGTGGATCTGCCGCATGTCCCGGTCCGTTCGCCATCGCCGTGCGTTGAGTTCCGGGTCCCACACCTCGGTCTTCTCTTTGCCGGTGGCCCCGAAGAAAAAGTAGCTCTCGTATTGGCTGAGGGCTGACACAACCATGGTGTGCACTGCTGTCAGCACGGGGAGGGATGGGGAGCTGATGCCGACACATTGAACCAGGAACTCAGCAAGAGGGGCGAGCTGGCGACGAACGTGTCGATCGGACTGGGCCTGGCGCGTTGCCGGGCTTGCGAGCTCTGTCTTGAGCTGATGCAGCAGGGAGGCTCGGTGGTCAGGGTGAACCCCTTGGAGCAGGTGATGGAAGAAAGAGGGAGGGAGGGGAGGGAGGTCAGGCGGATCGTTGAAGGGCGATGCAAGCTTCGCACCACGGATGAATGGATGACCTTTCAGGGAGCTGGGGAGTGGCGCGAAGATAATCTTGTCTGCCACGGGCGCACCACCATGACCTCGCCGCGTAGGAGGGCCGGCCTTGATCAGAGCTGCACACATCGACAACAGACACACTGTCGCATCCGATCGTAGGTCAATGTGCGCCTCCAGCTGGCTGACGCTCACCTTCAAACGCTGCCTGTTGGTGTTCCTGGCCGGGAGGAAAAGGGAGAATGCTTGCTGCCCGTTGGTCCCGTTCACGCTGTGCCAGGATCTCTGGGTCGGGTGGACGACCGTCGGGCTCCTCATCCGGATCCTCGGCCACCAGACGGCCCGGCCAGCCGTTCCTGCAAGGACACACACACACACACACACACACACATGTGAATGGGTGATTCCCACCGTATCGTCAGCTCCCCCCGCGACTCACGTTCCATCGCCGGTAGACGAGATGTCCATCTTGGCTTGGTCAGGCAGGCAGGGGGGATTCACCTCACTAATGTTGTGGCATCGGCCTGCAGCGCATCTGTCCTGTCGCTTGCAGTTTGAAGATCGTCACGTCAGCGGTGCCGGCAGCGATGCACGATAAACAAACACGTGTGTCATCACCTGCACGAAACAGAGATCACCCCCGCTGGTGCGTCACCAGTTGAAAGGGGCCTACTTGAGAAATCTTCTGCCCTTCCGCCTCGAGAAGCCTTCCATGGCCTTGGCGAAGCGACTGTCGTGCAGCTCTCCTCACCAGCAACAGCATCAGTTATTATTTCATCCGCGAGCTCACAATGCCTAGGACATCTCGTGAACCTGCTCGTCGTCAGATCAGAATCAGAAGGGGGAAATCTCCCGTCATGATGACCCCAGACCGTCGGCAGTCTCGGCTGCCATCGCTGCACGACAACACATTCGAACTCGCCCCTGTCGACAACGTAAGCACAAAGACAGACAGACAGAGTGCTGCAGATCTGAGAGGAGGAGGAAGGTCAGACCGAGATGGGATGCAGCTCATAAGAGCAAGAGCCGGCACACAGCCAATGACGACAACACTGACTGCAACCGTTTCTATTGGTGTGTGTGTGTCGCATTGTGTGCAGCCCCATGCGTTTTGCTACGACCTGAAGGCGTCTGGCCAGTGCCCGGGTCTGATGGACTTCAAGAAGGGCACCACCACACTGGCCTTTGTCTTCCAGGGCGGCATCGTCGTCGCTGTCGACAGCCGAGCTTCCATGGGCACCTACATCTCCAGGTAGGTGGGCTGGGCGTCTCATCTCTTTCCAGGGATGAAGCCTTTGCACCTGTGTGTGTGATTGATTTGTGCGCCATGCAGTCAATCGGTGCGGAAGGTGCTGGAGATCAACGACTTCCTGCTCGGGACGATGGCTGGCGGCGCGGCTGACTGCTCCTTCTGGGAGCGGCACCTGGCGAGGGAGTGCCGACTGCACGAACTCAGAAACGGGGTGAGCTGGGCGAGGGAGGGGAGGGAGGAATAGATAGGTGGAGCGCAATCAATGTATGGCTCGGTCACTCACGTTCTTATTTGGCTGGCACATCTGTGTGCATGCATTCCCTGCTGTAGGAGAGGATATCGGTTGCCGCAGCGTCCAAGATGCTGGCGATGATCTTCTATAAGTACAGGGGCTACGGACTCAGCGCCGGCACCATGATCACGGGATGGGACAAAACGGTGGGGAGGGGGCCAGGCCAGCTGGCCTATAAACAAACGCACACGCACCTCGTCGATGGATGCGATGGATGCCTCCCTTTGTTTGCTGGTCTCTGGGCGGCTGTCTTGACTGTCAGGGTCCCAAGTTGTATTTTGTCAACGACCAGGGCGAGCGCATGAAGGGCGACCGCTTCAGTGTGGGGTCGGGATCCACATACGCATACGGGATACTCGACAGCAACTACAAGTGGTGCCAGGCAGCACAGCACAGCCACACACCCTCACAAACAAGGAGGGAGCGACGGATGCACCATCACGCTGCTCTCTGTGTGTGTGTGTGTGTGTGAGTGTGTGCAGGGACCTGAGTGTGGAGGATGCGGTTGAGTTGGGTCGCCGTGCCATCTACCACGCCACTCACAGGGATGGCGGCTCCGGAGGCGTCGTCAGAGGTGTGTTACCCGAGAGCGACCGACCCACATACAGACACAGACACAGACTCGGGCACAAGGTGGTGTCTGTCTGTGTGTCTGCAGTGTATCACGTGCACAAGGACGGGTGGAGCCGCATGATAGAGGGGGAGGACGTCAGCGAACTCCACTTCAAATACGCCGGAGACAAGGGTCAGTGAGCAGCTCGCCGATCGCACCCTGACGTCTACAGCGACAGATTCCTCTCTATGGCTGCTGTGCTGTCGGTGTGCGAGTGCAGGTCTGAGTGGTCTCGAGTGGGAATAAAGTGAGTGATGCAAGGCAACAGCGACTCAATCCTCTCACTGAGAGCCGTCTGCTGGCTGGGCTGGAAGGAGAGCAGCGTTGGATTGTAGACTGACTGACTGGTGAAGTGGTGCTCTTCCGTCGTGACGTGACGTGATGTGATGGCGCTTTGTTTTTTGATAGCTCTGACGGATAGATGGATGGAGGCTCAGCGATGAAGACACACACACGTGCCGCTGCATGCATGGTTTGTTTGTTGAGTGCATACATATGAATGGATCGGATCGATGCGATAGATAACCGCAGTCAGGTCCTCTCTCTGTACAAGTGAGGCATGGCATGGTCGGTCGGTCGCTAGCTGGCTGGCTCCCTGGCTGGCTGGCTGGCAGGCGACGTCAACTGGCTGGCCAAAAGAGTGTTGTGTGTGCTGCCCTCCTGGCTGGTCTCGTCCGTCATACGTAGCTAGTCAAGGTCATGGCACGCCACATCAGATCACATGACATGACGGTTAAAAGGCATCGACATCCATCCACCCATCGATTCGTAGCACCACGCAGGCAGGCAGGAGGCAGGCCGAGACAAATATCGACAAGGAGAGGAGAAGGAGGCCAAGAGTGGTACATATCCGGTAGTCGGCAGCCGAGTCACTAGCAGCAAGTATTGTATTGCGGGTAAGGAAAAGCAACAACACCACCCACCGCCATGCCATCATATGCCATGCAGGCATGCAGGCATCATGCAGTGCAAGCCGTCAAAGCACGCCACACACTACATCAGAGTCATCATCATGATCACCATCATCACAGCGATGGTCCTTCCCCCAGGTCTAGCTGACATCCTCCTCTCTGCACACCACACGCACCAGTTGTCTGTCTGTCTGTCTGTCTGTCTGGTCGAAGGGAAAACACCATCCATCCATCCAGTGTGTCCGGTGTGTGTGTGTGGTCAGGTGTATGGTAAGCAGGGGGGTCCATACACCGCATGGATGGACGGAACTCACTGTTTGATAGCTAGATGGATCTCTCTCAGTCCGTCCATACGATAGTCAGTCAGTCAGTCCGTCTGTCTGTCTATCTGTTCGTCTGTATCTAAGGCTACACACAAGGGGGAGGCACCGGCCAGTCAGCCGACCAGCCATCCGTCCGTCCGTCCAAGGGGGCAATAGGGAGGGGGGTCCTTTCGACAATCAGCAGGCGGACAGGCAGGCAGGGCATCCAGTCAGTCAGTCAATCAATCAATGCACCACACAGGCAGACAGGGAGTTAGGCATCTGTCATGCGTGTATGATGCATGCATGCACTGGGGAGCTAGCTGGCTAGCACGGCGCGTGTATCGTCTTGTGTTGGTGTATGGTACGAGGTGTGTGTGTGTATGTTGTGTTGTGTTGTTTAGGCCTCCATGTCCATCTCGCCCTCCTCCTCGTCGAACTCGCCCTCCTCCTCCGCGGTGGCGTCCTGGTACTGCTGGTACTCGCTAACCAAGTCGTTCATCTGCACACACACACATCGACACACACACATGGAGAAAGATGGTGCTCGCATGTGTGTGTGTTGCTGTCTTACGTTGCTCTCGGCCTCAGTGAACTCCATCTCGTCCATACCCTCACCAGTGTACCTGCACATCAAGGAGGGAGAGGGGAGGGAGGGAAGTGGTGTGTGTGTGTGTGTGTGTGTGAGGGATGCTGGCTGTGTGTATCGGGTGTGTACCAGTGAAGGAAGGCCTTGCGTCGGAACATAGCGGTGAACTGCTCAGCAACGCGCTTGAACATCTCCTGAGCGACGAATGGATGGATGGCCACACACACCACACACGCCACAAGGCAGCCACAACATGACTTCCATCCATGTTGCCTCCCTCCCTCCCTCAGCCCTCTGTCTGTCCATGTGCGTGTGTACTTGCCTGGATAGCAGTGGAGTTTCCGATGAATGTGACGGACATCTTGAGTCCCTTAGGTGGGATATCGCAGACGGAGGACTTGATGTTGTTGGGGATCCACTCGACGAAGTAGGAGCTGTTCTTGTTCTGCACGTTGAGCATCTGCTCGTCCACCTCCTTGGTCGACATGCGGCCGCGGAACATGGCGCTCGCCGTCAGGTAGCGACCGTGGCGCGGGTCAGACGCGCACATCATGTTCTTAGCGTCAAACATCTGCTGAGTCAACTCTGATATATCGACACCATTGACAACACACACAGCGACAAATACGGATGGGAATCCAGGCGATGTGTGTGTGTGTGTGTTGGGAAGGAGGGGGTGGGGAGGTCGACGCACCAGGTACGGTGAGTGCGCGGTACTGCTGTGAGCCGCGAGATGTGAGGGGTGCGAATCCGATCATGAAGAAGTGGAGACGGGGGAAGGGGATCAGGTTGACCGCCAGCTTGCGCAGGTCGCTGTTGAGCTGGCCAGGGAAACGCAGGCAGCACGTCACACCAGACATGGCCGCGGACACCAAATGGTTCAGGTCACCATATGTGGGGGTCGTCTGCACACACACAGAGGGGAGAGGAGGAGATGGGGGGTGAGTGGTGGCGTGTGTTGTGTGGATGGTGTCTGTGTGTGTGTTTGTGTCTTTCTGACCAGCTTAAGTGTGCGGAAGCAGATATCGTAGAGGGCCTCGTTATCGATGACCTGCACCTCATCGGCGTTCTCGACCAGCTGATGCACCGACAGGGTGGCGTTGTACGGCTCAACAACGGTATCAGACACCTGCACACACACAACACACACATCCAACATCCATGTGCACCACCGCCCAGCCATGTCAGTCCCTCCCCCGTCTCCCCTCTCCCGTCTCCCGTCTCCCCTCTCCTGTGTGTGTCCCAAGCTAGCTTACCTTTGGTGATGGGAAGACGGAGAAGGTTTCCATGATACGATCGGGGTACTCCTCTCTGATCTTGGAGATGAGGAGGGTGCCCATACCGCTGCCAGTGCCGCCACCGAGCGAGTGTGTGATCTGGAACCCCTGCAGGCAGTCGCAGCCCTCGGCCTCCTTGCGCACCACGTCCAGGACCGAGTCGATGAGCTCGGCGCCCTCGGTGTAGTGGCCCTTGGCCCAGTTGTTGCCCGCACCGGTCTGACCGAAGACGAAGTTGTCGGGTCTGAAGAGCTGGCCGAAGGGTCCTGCGCGGACGCTGTCCATGGTGCCGGGCTCCAGGTCCATGAGGACGGCACGGGGCACATAGCGGCCGCCAGTCGCCTCGTTGTAGAAGACGTTGATGCGCTCCAGCTGGAGGTCGCTGTCACCGTGGTACGTCCCCGTCGGGTCGATGCCATGCTCGTCGGAGATCACCTCCCAGAACTTGGCACCGATCTGGTTGCCGCACTGGCCGCCCCTGCATTAATGGACAGCACGAGGACACGACACACACATGGTGGGATGGGAGGTGGTGAGGCGGCATTCTCATTCGCTGCTGCTTACTGGATGTGCACGATCTCACGCATGATGGCAGAGTCTGACACACAGACAGAGATACAGACGGTGAGATGTGCCCAAGGTGGTCAACGCGGGTATGCACTCAAGAACGCACTGCATCCCCGAGCCGTATTCCGTCCATTGCCGAGTCGCCGCTCTCGTGGCTTCCCTGCGGAGCGGCGGGAGACATCATGCCAGCTGCCGCGTCCATCAGAGCCGACAGTGCCGTGACATTGCGGAGGAAAGCCAACAATGCCGTCACGCCGATGCCGGGAACCATCTGGGAAGCTGAATTGGCTTCATGCCGACCCAGGGCTCATCTCAGGCGCCTCAGCATAGCCATTCTGACCTTCCTGAGGCTGTTGGGCAGCTGGTGATGACCGAATCGCGGCTCCTCGTGCCGTGGTGCCATCGCGGCATTGCCAATGCCGCCCACGGCCGCCCACATGCGTCGCTGCCATCCCCGTGGAGCGTATATCCACCCCTATGTGGCCTGTCTGGTCTGTTGATGCGTGTGGTGGCGTGCATACCTGAGTGCTGTCGGGCGGGACTGCAGGGAGGTAGGTGGGAGGCGTGTGCTCAAAACGCCGGGAGGAGGGAGGCGGCGAAACGTGAAATACACGAACAAACAGGTATCCTCACTCAACAACCCACGCCCACAGAATTTGCGAGCTCAAGAATACCGCGATCCACTCATCTTGGCCAAAAAACGTCAGATAGTGGATATCACTGCAAATGTCACTCAAGGACCGCTGCGACGGCCTGCGACGAAACAATCATTTCAAAGAAGGTTCTTGGGCGCGGTGTCGAAGGCTGTCGACCGCGTCAATGGTATTGTGTGCCAAGACTGGTCTTGCCCCACAATACTCGCTGTTCCTTTGCTGCAGTCAGTGCATCTCTGTCGCAGAGGTTTTTATCTGTTCGCGTGCATTCCGTGGTATCGGCCATCTTTGCGATGGATACCTGGCCGCACATCATCGGGTGCTTCTTGCTGCCTCTTGCGGGATGGATGGATGCATGGATGGATGGATGGACTGCAAACTGATGCGTCGACTACGTATGCTTCAAGTGCGTTTCATCCGCTTCAGGTGTGTCTGTCACTTGTCATCTGTGTTTGTCCCTCTGTCGCTGTCACTCTCACGCACACCAGTTCACACCGCATCGCAGCTCGTAGGCCTGCTTCATCAACCTGCGCACGCACAAGGACACAAAGACCAATATGCGTCTGCCTTCACCGGTCTCGGCATTACATACGTGGTGAATCCTGTGAGTTTTGCCGGCGCGGTGCATGGGCCGGTGTAATGGACTGGCGAAAGGCAACTGCCGCTCGCCACACTCGATGACCAACCCTGACCAACACAGATGCATGCACAGCAGCCAGATGAAGGCAGACAAGGGTGGCTAATGTTGATCTAATGCGGACGCACATGTGGACACATTGGTTTGTAGTCTTTGCCAAGGCCGCCACACGGATCTGTCTCACACGCGAAGCGGTGGCCGGTCTCGGCGTACACGAGGGCCTTGTCGGTGTCGGTAGTGCTGTTGTGCGACAGGTGGATCACTGTGTGTGTCTCCATGTCAGGGCCCTCGCACGAGTAGTCGTCGCCTTCGGTGCTCTTGTAGGTGTAGCCCACGGGACATGGCTCAGTGTAGTTGAATGCGAGACAGTCGGCGAGGATGCGGCCGTCAGACTCGCGAATGGCTGACACACCCAACACGCGTGCACAGAGAGGGAGAGACACCTTCGTCCCTCACTGTTTGGGATGCATGGGAAGGCGGTGAGACACTTCTCGGCGACCTGACAAGGACACACATACATTCGCACGCGATTGCATCTCATGGGCGATGCGTGCGTACCTGTCTCTTCTCCGTCGGTGTCTGTATTGGGAGTGTCCTGGTGGCGTTGATACAATCCTCGGTCAGCTCTGATGGAGCAAGGGGCAATGGTGGATCGATCGCGTTGCTGCTGCTGCTCTTGGTTTGTGTACCTGTGGTGAGTTTGGCCGTTGGATGGCACTCTGCGAGGCCTGTGTCCTCGTCGAGGAAAACACGGAAGAAAAGCGGGCAGGGAAATGTAAGGTCCCACTTGCTGCAAACAGCCGACCATTGAGAATGACCAGACCATTCGTGTGTGTGTGTGTGTGTGTGTGTGTGCTGTCCGGTTTGTCTGTCTCACCAGTCGTTGACACACGGGAACAAGACCGAACACCTCTCGCCGAATCGCCGTCGGCCGCCAAGCGTCATGGCGGCAAAGTCAACCTGTGTTGGGCAATCAGCTGACCCGACAGGCCCTTCGGAGACGCCGCCCTCTCTCGGCCGCCAACCAAGTGGCCGCGCTGCCGTGAAGGACTCCTCACAGAACGGAAAACATGGCCGGTTCACTTGGCACACGGCTTCGAATGCCATCTTATCGGCGATCGTCATGTCGATGAATGTGCGTGTGCCTGTGCAGCCCCGCTTGAGCTTGAGGTTGCCGCTGGGCCGACAGTAACGCTGAGGCAACTCGTCAAACCCTGTCAGGCACGATGCAACACATGGCATGGACACACAGACAAGACGGACATTCATTTGTCAGGGTGTTGGTTGTGTCACCTTGCGGGCAAAAACTGGCATAGTTGCGTCTGCAGCCTTTGCGCTCGATGGTCGAACCCAGCACCACTGAGGCCTTGTTGACGTCTGCCTCTCATCTCGTGGGCGTAGACGCAGACAGATCAGCGACTATGTGGCCGAGCACGGTTTCAGAGTCACGATTGCTCCGCTTCTTCTGCTGGATTGCGAGGCCGATCCTCTGCTTCAGCACTCTGTCCACGGAAGCAACAGATGGGGAGATGAGCGTTCGTATGTTTTTCTGCCTGACCTGAGCTTGGCAGCCAGAGGCTTGTAGCGCCTGTGTGCCAGATCATGGTGACTGAGCACGAGGCCGCGTCGCAGGAAAGGAACCACATTCAGCCGCTGTGCAAATCGTGAGACAGCGCCAACCTGACACAAGCAGCAGCAACACAGACACACACACACACACACACACACATCGACCGAGAGACACACACAGAGCATCGATGCATAATCCACACCTTAAGTGGGTCTCCGATGCGAGAAACCGCGTTGAAGGGGAGCGCTGATGAAAGCACAGCGCTCTTCTTCTCACCCACAGGCGGCGGTGGTGTCTCTTTCTCGATGTGAGTCTGCTCGATGCTGTGCGCCTTGGCCGACGACTCCTCGATGGGTGCTGCTGCCGGCTGTGGCGGCGCCGCCGCCGCTGCCTCTTGTGTCTCTGCGGCATGTCTCTTGGCTGCTGCGATGTGCTTGCCCCACTCAGCTGTTGCGGCCATGTTCCTGACTGTGCGCTCCACCCTGCCTAACCGCCGCTCACGCTCCACACTCGACTCCTCCATGTCCAGCATCTCTACACAAAGAGACATCCATAGATCATGTGTGTTCGACAGTGTGTGCACGCGTGCCTTGTATCTGGTCGGCAGCTGATTGCATCGCGGTGAGTGCGGCCTGGTCGGTGAGTTTGTTGGTGTCCTCGTCTTCGGTGACCATGATGCCCATCATCGGCGGCCGCATCATCTGTGTCACATACTGACCCCGGTGGAGCATAGCGGGGTCCAGCCGGCTGCGAGACTGAACGAAGCGAGGCAGGCCAGCCGCTGCTGTCCTCCTGCTCCTCACACCCTGACACACACCCATGCACACATACGTAGAGAGAGAGAGTGTCAATCGACGCCTCCGTGTTTTCAGTTTTGTGTGCTTCTCGCTCACATTGACTTCTCTCATGTCGTTTTGGAGACGTGTGTATGTTCGCTGAAATGCCTGCCACGTGTCCTTGATGTCTGTCAGCTGCTTCTGGAGTGATTCATTGTCGGTCTGAGCGTCGGCAGTGGCCTCTGCTCCCACGGTCGAGGGCAGCGAGTGACACACCACCAGCAGGCATGTCGCAAACACCACAAGGTGCGACATCGGTGTGGTTGAGTGTTTGCTTGCTCTCAGAGTGAGCCAGAGGGCGTGTACACTATGTGTCAATGTGTGTACACTATACACGTGCACACGTCAACTATACATACATGTATAATGAATGCATAATTAACGGAAAAACGGCCGTCATTCAACAATCCTTCTGCCTTCATTCACTCGATCCTGTCACGCGGCGTCGTCCATCGCCATGGCCTGCCTGCACACAGATACGCACACGAGACAAACGACAGGATGCCTTAATTACGATTTGTGTACACCTCAACACACCGGTCTGACAGAAAGAGAGCAAACACAGAAGCGACGCACGTGAGGACCACCTGGTGTGTGTACACAAACGTCTGGTGTTGACACGACACAAACGACACGTGTGTGCATGTGTGTGCATCGTGTCTGCTCACGTACGTACTTACCAGCCACCACTCGCTCGAATCTCCTCTCTGGGCTTATCGCTCTCCTCGAACAACACGGAACCAGGATGCTGACCAGGCCACACACGCATGATGCTCGTGTGTGTGTGCTTCCCTTCCCTCCCCGACTTGTACGAGCAGGAGTATCTCGGGAACTGATATTCGTACTCATTGCTCAATCCATGTCCAGTCAACCTCCGCTTCCTTGCCTGTGTGTGACTCACGCACACCAAATGAGGCAATGGGTGTTCGACCAGTGTCCCATCTTTGCATCCGGTGGCGCATCTGAGCAGAATGTGTGTGAAATGGCATGGGTCGAAGCTCATTTTTGACCGAGGATGGGGTCAGTGGACGTATCTACTGCTGTCCAGGCGCATCAGGCAAGCGGAAAGCGGCAGATCTTCCCGACAGGGGATCGGCCTAAAGCTCGCATGCGCCGAGTTTTCTGCGTGTTGATGGGAAACACGATGACCTGGCGGACTGCTCTCGAGATCACCGGGGCCATTGGAGTGCCCCTCGCGGGCGGCTTCTTGGGTAGGTACTGGGAAGATCAGACAGCGGAGCAGATGCAGAGATCTGTTGGAGCATGCCTTTCACCTTGTGCACAGGTTCCATGTGGACTGTGCCGGAGGTGAAGGGCTGGTACAAGACCCTCAAACGACCCTCATGGAACCCACCCGACTGGCTCTTTCCTCCGATGTGGGCGCTGCTCTACGTGTGCATGGGCGTGTCCAGCTGGCTGATGTACCAGGAGCCGAAGAGCACACTCCCACTCGCTCTATACGGTGAGTCAGTGAACGAGCGACGAAACAATACGTGTGTCAGAGACGTTCTGTCCGCTTGCCTTCTGTTCCTTGCAGGCACACAGCTGCTGTTCAACTTCGCCTGGACGCCTTTGTTTTTTGGGCTTCACCGCCTCGACTGGGCGCTGGTCGACATCATCGCCTTGGACGTGACGCTGATCGGGACTATCATCACGGCCTTCCGCCTCAAGCCGGAAGCGCCCGTGGCGGCCATCCTCCTGCTGCCTTACCTGGCTTGGGTCGGCGTCGCCACTGCTCTCAATGCATGGATCATTCGCAACAACCCACCACAGAAGACCAAGGGCGCCAAGGACGACGGGCTGTGAGACGGCCGCGAGGGAGCGACGAGGGAACACACGGGTGGCTGTGACCGATGGCACGATTTTCGATAGGTATGGTATGGTGTGGTGTGGTGTGGTGTGATGGTGGTGTTGTGTTGGTTTGTGCTGTGTACCGCGTGTCTTGTTTGAGCGATCATGTCTGCTACTTCGTCATGCCTTCTCGAGGGATCCGCAGGTGAGGTCATCACAATTAATCCGCGCCAGACTACGGTTGGGGCAGATCAATTGAGATGGCATCATCCACGTCGCCCTTTCGGGAGGCTGAGGAAGCAGCGACACACGTGGCTGGCTTTGCCGTATGCTCATTCATTATGTATGTACAGTACAGCGCGTGCCCCGCTCGTATTTTTGCTTTGCCAGGATGGATGCCACGAGTGCAGTGAGAGTCTTTTTCGTGCCTGCTTTTCCCTCAGCCGAGCATCCATCGATGCTGCTGCTATCTGTTGTCATGTGTATTTCGATCATGATGCTGGATGACATGATGGAGCTCTTGTGACGTGAGAGGCGAGGGAACTGCTGAAGCTTTTTCCGATGCTTTGTTGCGATCGAGTGGTGTGTGATTTGGGGCGAAGTGTTCTCGCGAAAATGAGACTTTCTGCGATGCGGAAACCATAGCGACGATTATGTACAAAAGCGTCATCGAGCTGAGACGATTCCTTGCTGACCATGCACACGAACCAATGACAAATCAGGCATCCGTGCACTCTCAGGGCTGGCTGCCGTATGCATGACCTCTTTCGCATTACACATTACACTGCACAGCCGCTCACGCTCCTGTACAACTTAGCCAGACACTCTCTACACCAGTCGCTCGCTCACAACAGTCACCAGACAGACCACAGCTACCCTCATGCGGGCGACGAATCTTCCCTCGGAGAGCAGCCGCTGACGGTCGTGTCAAGGTCGCTCCCACCCTCGTGATGCACAGCTCCGCCCCCCCGCCGGTCGCCCTCCCGGAGGTCGGCCCATGTCATGATAGAGAAGGCTGCCAGTATGCACACCGCTCCACACATGGAGGCCGCGTCCATCAGATAGCCGTAGATGAGGTAGTCAAGGAAGGCCGTCAGCGGCAGGATGACCATCTGCGACAGGGCCACAAGCACCGCGTTGCCGAACCGCAAGGCTAGCGCGAAGAAGACGTAGTACAGAATTGCCTCAATGGTGAGCGCCAGCACGACCAGCAGGTTGAGGCCGGTGGGGAGTTGGAATGGCTCGATGTTGGTGAGGTGCAGCACTATGAACACGGGCCAGCAGACGAGCATCATGAAGAAGCCCTGGAAGGCCACCAGCTCTAGTGTCGACCCTCGCACCACCCATTTCTTCATCAGCACTGCACCAACCAACCAACCACAAACCCAAAACACCATTCACTCCTTGATTGCTTTGTGCGCAGACAAGATTCACACACACCCACCTGCATACGATGAGTAGACGCATGCCGACGCCAGCACCTCAACACACCCCAGCACCGTTGTCGGCACAGTGCCGTCCCTGTTGTCGTGAAAGACCGTCATCAGCAGCACGCCCACGAATCCGCCCACCACACAGAGGCCCTTCAACCACGAGCAGGCCTCGCGCAGCACCAGCAGCGACAGCAGGTACACCCACAGCACCTGTGTCTGGAAGATGGCGCTGTTGACCGATACCGGCGTGCTCGCAAGTGACAGCGCCCACATTGACCGGTAGGCCACCACCATGCAGCCGAGAACAAGCGCCTGCTTGATGCGATTGACCAGAGGGGGAGGGGCGGATGCATGGTGGCTTCTGTCGTCGCTTTTGGTCGACTCGATTGAGCGGCACGGGTAGAGGAGTGCGAAGGACGCCTGGGTGACGTATGCGATGAAGAAGGGCTTCGAGAAGGACGCTTCCGAGCCGGCGGATTGGATCCACTTGAGCATGTAGCCTCCCAATAGCCACGACCCCACCATCAGGGCGATAGAGACGTAGGCCAGGCTGGCCCGCCATCTCGCCAGAAGCCTCTCGCGAAAGCTTGGCGTCCTCTCGGGAGCAACGGAGAGCAGGGGAGCGCGCTCAGGTCCCTCAGGAACCATCGTCAAGATGCAACCTGTGACGAAAGCATAGATCCCATCACACAGATGACTTCAATGCGTCATGAATCCAGTCAGTACCTTCTGCTTCGGCACGTGCTTCGGTCACTCGTGTGATTCCACTGTGCGATATTGTTCAGATCGTTACTAAGCAGCAGTGGCAAGAACGTTACAGGCCAAGGATGATGGACACAGCATCTGCACGCTGCTTGAGTCATATGTTTCACGCTCAGCGCCCTAGTCGCGATATCTTTTGTCGATTCCGGATCTTTCTCGTTCGTCAGGGCGGCTTGCCCTGGTTGACTGGCTGTATCGGGATGACAAACAGCCGTCGTCACGTTGCGGCATTCATCCATCCGTCTGGTGCACGTCAGGCGACACAATGACGATGCAGGTAGGGGGTGACAACAGCGCGGCGCAGGCCGCCGAGGCGGCAGTAGAGATGGACACCGATGCACCGGCCTGGATACACGTGGTGCCTATCGAGGAGGCCTTTTATATGGAGTTTCTCGACGCGCCGTCACTCCAGCGCCTGAAGGTGAGGAGTGGTCAGGGAGGGAGGGAGGGGAAAGTGGAGACGCTCATCCACACACAGACAGATCCACAGCATTCATTCTTTCGGTGTGTTGTTTGTCCATCCAATCGTCCATCATCCATCTATGTACCATTCCATCCATCAGCTGACGTGTCACGAGTTTGCCGACCACCCGCCGGCGCGTTATCAGTACTGTTTCAAGCAGCTGTGTGCGGGCGAGTGGGCACTTCCCAGCAGGCCTCTGGTGCTGGACAAGAGCGGCTCGGTTGACCGCTCCTGGGAGAATGTACGTATGGGAATCTGTAGACAAGTGTTTCTCTCTCTGTCTTCTCGTCACTCGATCACGAAGTGCTATCTTGCCGTCTGTTTGTTGGTCAATTGGTCAGTTCTACCATGACCTCGACCCAATGCCCGTCGGCTTCCAGCGCGACCTGTGCCCGCGGGAAGTCGAGCTTAAGGCCGACAAGGTGGGTGGGTGGGTGTGTGTGTGTGTGGTGTGGCTCGGGACACATGTAAGAGACTCGTGTGTGTGTGTGTGTGTGTGTGTGTGTGTGTGTGTGTGTGTCTGTGTGTGTGTGTGTGTGTCTGTCTGTCTGTTTGTGTTTCCCAGGAGGGCCGGCTTCGTTTTGCGAGCCTCACTGAAGGCTTTGGCGATGGTCGTACCAACACGACACGGGGACGAGGCAGATCTGTTCTGACATACGTACGTGTGCGTGTATATGTTTGTGACTCTGTGCAGACCGTTGCTGTGTGTCCGACGCCTTCCTGCCCAACATCTTCACGTCATCCGTCGTGGCCCACCCACACAAGTCCACCACCCCGAACCCACCGGCCACACCCGCACCACCGCCCCCAACCCGCACCAAGCAGCCACTAGCACAGGAAGCAGACGCGCTGATGGCCGACTTTGCCCTCTTTACCAGCAGAAAGCGCGCCCAGTCCCACAGCCCGCTGCACAGCGACCGGGCGTCGTTCGAGCGGGCCATGGAGGAGGGGGCGGATGGGTATAGATTCGTGGCGGGGTACCGTGTAGCGCACTACTACGAGATCAGTCTGCATGTGGGTGGCGGGAACGACAAGGGATGTGTGCGGGGGAACGGCCACTCGCGGCTGAGGCGGCGGCTCAATCTCGTCAAAAGGGATGACGCGCCCCTCCCCGTAGAATGCGTCTCAGTCGGTATGTGTACACACGCACACGAGGCAGCGTCGCTTCCTCTGTACGTACCTGTCGCTCTGTGTGGTGTGTGCAGGTTTGGCGACTCGTCAGTTCAACCCCAACAGCAAGCAGGCGGGGTGGGACAACCAGTCGTGGGGATGGCACGGCGACGACGGACACCTGTTCCACGGGTAGGTGAACGGCTGGGTGGGTGGCTGAGTGGGGACATGCATGGCATGGCATGAGCACACACACGCATCCATCCATCCATCCATCGACGTACTTCTGTGCCGTGTGTGTGTGTCTTGTCTGTCCTAGCAGCAGCGGCTCCCGCGGTGTGGATTGGACGCACAAATTCGGCATCGGTGACATTGTCGGTACGCAAACCTACACACCACTTTACCGTACATTCACCATACACCATGCAACGCCCCTCCCCTCCCCCTCTCTCATCTCCCCCATCCCATCCCATTACTGTCAGGCTGCGGCATCGTGTATGTGTTTGAGGGCGACCCCTACATCCAGCCGCAGTGGAACCTCCGGCACGACCACAGGCAGCTCACCATCCCACAGTCCTTCGATCTCTTCTGGCGGTCCAACCCAAACAACACCGCCGGCGCAGACGAAGACGACAACGACATGGCAGAGGGCAGCGGCGAGGCAGACGGCCAGCCCCGCCCCCCAGTCAAGTCGCCCTGGCAGGTCCTGGCTGAGGAGCGTGCCAGCGACATGGCGGACTTCAAGGCGGCGACGGAGCGGCCGATTGTGTGTGGGGTGGACGAGAGGGGCGTGCTGCGGAAGGTGGCCCACCGGCAGATATTCTACACGCTCAATGGAGAGTACCTGGGGCCTGCGTTTGATCTCGCCACCGATGAGCCACTGCTGGTGAGGAGAGGGAGGCGGCATCAGTGTGTGCTGTTTGTCATTTCATTCTGTGCTTCGTGTGTGTGTGTGTGTGTGTGGTGTCATCCGCCCTTCAGGCGTGCGTGGGTGTAGATTGTAGCTGTACCATAGAGATCAACTTCGGAGCCAAACCGTTCAAGGTCACACACACACACATGGAGAGAGGGAGGCTGCGGGCCATATCACATGCAATATTCCTTCTGGCTTCTCTCTCTGTGTGTGTGCATGGGTGCAGTTTGACGTCGATGCTTACTTCCCCCCCATGTCCATCCCCCCCGACGCACGCACATTCGGCGCCACACCTGACGCACCGGCCGCATCGCCCCCTTCTCCGCCAGCCAGGCGATTCATCCGCCGTCTCTTCGACTATCCATCCCTCGGCCCGCCCCCAGGTCCAAAGGGGCCCCCGCCCTCACCCCCGCCCCCGCCCCCGCAGCCCCCTTCGTTCTTCCCTGGCGGCCCATCGATCAAGCGCAAAGACCAGGGTGCATCGGCGGATCTAGCGGCCGTCGAGAGCAGGGTGCGTCTGGCGCAGTTGCTGGCGGTGCGTGCCGAGCGGGCCAGGCAGGCCGGTCGCCAGAGGGCCGCGAGGGCCAGGCTGCAGAAGATGGCGGAGTGGCGGCGAGAGAGGGACCGGCGCAGTACTGATGCTGCGCAGCAGCCACCAGACAGCACCAAGGCGCAGCCAGCAGCCGCGAGTGACCACAACGATCGGCTAGCTGAGGAAGCGCCGAAGCCGGCTGCCGCACCAACAGCAGCACCAGCAGCAGCAGCAGCCGCTGCTGGCGGTGGAGGCGGCGCCGAGAAGGACCAGGCATCGCCGTCGGGCTGGTCAGACAGCGACGATGAGGAGGCAGAGCGACCGGAGGACCGGCACCAGGCATACTTCGCCGAGCTGGAAGCCACCACGTGGGCGAGGCAGCGAGCGGCGGAGAGCAGGCCCTGTTTCCAGCTGATTGACACTGTGCGCGGCGGCCCCAGCCAGAGAAGGCGCCATCGTATTAACAACTCGGTGTTCGGCTGCATCACCGACAACAAAGAGGCCAAGCCGGACAGCCAGGCGGCCGCATCTGCTAGTGCGTCGGCGGCAGAAGCATCATCGGCATCGGCAGCCGCTGCTGGTGCGGTAGAGGGGGGAGAGGGGGAGGGCGAGGGCGTTATGCGGGATATCAGCACTCCCGGGCAGACGACCGAGCGGAGAGAGACCTCATACACAGAGACGCGTACGCAAAGCTCCCGGCGGGGGCTGACTGACTGTGTCGTGTTGATTGGATTGTGTTGGTGTCTGCAGGTTCGTTGGTGCCTCACTTTAACCCGCGGCTGCACCTGCGGGTATGGCGGCCATTCGCTGCCGGCCAGGAACGAGTTCTGAGACACTTCAACGCCGACGGTGAGTGCGAAGACGCACACTCGCATACACCTACTTGTGCTCTGTGGCGCAAGTGACCCTTTTTGTCACTGTCTGTGTGTGTGGTCAGTGTTGCGTAGCGGTGAGGTGCACTACCCCTTCCATCCGTTGGCAGATCGGATGGTCGTCAGTGTGGATCGGTGGCAGCGGCTCGTGGACCCCGCACACCTCACACCAGACCCACCCCTGCTCGCCTACCGCAATACCAGCAACAGGTGGGCACACACACACAACACACACACAACACACACACACACAGAGAGAGAGGCAGGCAGGCAGCGAGGGCGCGTGTATGTGCGTATGCATATTCATATGTATGTATGTATGTATGTGTATGTGTGCACACAACGGCCGGCCATTTACCATGGCGTGGCTCCACTTACTCTTCCTTGCCTTTTTCCATTGGGTAGCGGCCAGATATGGAACATGCGTATATCGCTGCCCGGCCTACTGCACCCCACCATCGGGCCCAGAAGGCACTGGGAGAGGGGCGATGCTGCGGCGCGATCCGTCAGCCCTTCCCCCACCGCCACCCCCGCCACCACCCCAAGCCCCCAGCTGCAGCTGTACCACGTGCACCATCGGCCCCTGTTCGGTCATCTGATGCGCATGACGCCCATCCCCCGCCGGCTGCCGCGTCAGGAGGACGCCTTGCCGCCCGTCAATCTGTCGCGGACGATGGCGACTGTGGTGCTGATAGTGCATGTGTTGACGATATTCTTCCTGCATGCGTATGTCACGTATGTGTTCTTCGAAGAGAAGCGCAGGAGCAGGGGGCACTAGCCGTGGCTAGTCAGGGTGGGGTGGCTAGGGCGCAGTAGTAGGGGCAATGTGTGTGTAGGTAGGTAGAGTGTGGTGGGCGGGGACCGCAATGCATTTGTTTGTTTTGACTGGTCAAACGATTTGATTCGTACGTACCTGAGCGGTGTCGTATGCATCCATCCGTATACACATACATACATACACATACCTGTACACGTATTGGCACGTAGAACTGCTGCTGGGGTTCTCATGTGTCTTGTTCTCCCTCCCTCTCTCTCTGTCTGTCTGGCTATGTGTGCATGTGTGTGTGCAGCCCCCATCCCCTGCTGCGTCTCAGCGAAGCCCAGGGCGATCCCTACTTCTCCCACCAAGAGCTCACGCCCCTCTCCCGACTCCCCCAGGTGCTGCAGATCAACGCACCCGAAGACGATGACGATAACAATGAGAACATCCTCCCCTTGTGAGCACCGAGACGCTGCGTTCTTCTGCCACATCGCTCTCTCTCTCTCTCTCTCTGTGTGTGTGTGTGTGTGTGTGTGTTTGTGGGTCGTTCTATTGTGATGCAGTCTTGGGCGCGGTGGTAATCTCTTCACTCGTCTGATGGCACGTCGCGATATGCCAACGTATGGACGGACACACACCGGGCCACATCCATCCACCCACCCATCCTGTTGTGGTTCACCTGTCTGTCTGTCTGTCTGTCTGTCTGTGTGCAGCCCGCCTCGCCGCTCGCTGCGCATCCAAGACCGAACTGAGCAGCAGCAACAGCAAGAAGAGGCGGAGGCCTCATCTGACTCCATGGAAGAGGGGGAGAGCGGCAGCAATGAGAATGACGAGAATGGTGGGGATGGCGGAGAGGGGGACGAGAGCGACGAAGTGGGAGAGGGCGGGCAGGATGAGGCTGCTGATGGGCCTGAGGCCGATGGTGGTGACGCCGATGATGGCGAGTGGGAGCCGGGCAGTGGCGGTGATGAGTGGTAGGCTGGCCGTAGAGGGAGAGAGAGAGAGGGGGGAGGGATTGATGGGGCCTTGCCTAGGTGTTGACTGGGATGTTTTGCCTGCCTGAGCAAGCAAGCAATGCTGAGGGCGGTGGGTGGACGTGCATTGCATTGCATGTGTAAGCGGGGTGCAGTGTGTGTAAGTGTGGATGGATGATGATGCAGGGGTCTGACTGCTCGGGGTGGTCCCCTCCATGTTTGTGAATCAATGTATGGAACCTTCCGTTTTTCGCTGTGTGCGTGTGCTATCCGTCTTTGGTGAATGACGTCCCTCTGTCTTTCTTGCGCCTGCTTACACTGCGGCTTTTCCACGGCTCTCTCTCTGTCTGCCGGGCTGAGTCAGATGAAGTGAGCCTGGAGGGCCGCTCCAAGAGCAGACGGGAAAAGACGAGAACCATCACTCACGTCGCCTTTGTTTGCATAAGAACATGTGTAGACCGCATCCACGGTATCGACTCGCTAATGTATCTTCTTGCTGCGCGTCGTGTGGTTGATTGCCGGCCGTCCTCGCCGGTGTGGCACCACGGCGCTCAGTTCACTCACTGCTGGAGCATTCATGAGATCCGAGGTGTCTGTCGCATGGGTGATGATGGAGGGCAACACATGGCTAGCTCCTCTGCGTAAGTGTTTTCCATCCATCCATCCATCCCCCTGAGTGACGTGTATCGTTATCGTATCCACTCGTTTCTTTTGTCGACAAGCGGCCCGAGTGCGAGTGCTGTCGTCGGTCGTTCCTCGCCTGTGTGGATCATTTTTCCAACAAGCTAAGCTGGTTGCCTAATCATTCCTCTCCCTTGGCTGTCGCGCTCATTTGTGTCGCCTTGTCTCACCTGGCCGGGCCTTTTTCTCCCCAATCCATCCCATGTTTGATCCCTTTGTACGCACCGTTTTTGCCTCGCACAGATGCGTGACGTTTGTCTCTGGCTAGTGAAGATGGTGTTCTTTAGTCCCAATGGCCGATACGCATACAAGTGCATGCAATGGGAGCTGCGGACTGCCAGTTTGAACGGATCGGCGTATCAAAAAGAGTTTTGACGACACACAGTGAATCAATGTCTCTCATCAAAGAGAGGATGGTCCATCCATCCATCCGTCCATTAAGGTACACATAAGCAATCCCTCTCCCTCTCCCCCACTTATCCACCCACTTACTCAAACCGCCAGCCCCAGACCTGGCTACCCGCGGTGTCCCACAGCCACGGCCGCAGACACACCATTGCCGCCCAGCCCACCACCAGACGGACCCTCAGCCACAGACTGGATGGACACCACCGACAACACCGCACACATGAACGTCCCCTGTTTATCTCTCTCTCTCTCTGTGTGCACATGCGCACCGGTAGGTCTCCCCCCTGCACGAGGTGCGACATGTCCTTGACGTGCCGCGTCCGCTCGCGGTAGCAACGCACCTCATCAATGGTTAACCTGACAGACACAGTCACACCAGTCAGACGGAGGAGAGAGAGACACGATGGATGGCACACAGCCCAACAACGTACTGCCGATCTCTGCATTGTGTGTGTGTGTGTGTGTGTGTGAGTGCATTGTACTTGTCCATGCCGATCCACACGGCAGATGAGCGTCTGGGGCGGTCGGCAGGGTGCTCACGCAGCAGGCTCTTGAACAGCTCCTCGTGACTCGAAAACATGGCTGGGGGACAGACAGAGAGAGAGAGAGAGAGAGAGAGGGACAAGAATGGGTGGAGACAATTATCTGGTGTTTGTCTGTGGCTGACCTCTGAGGTTGATGCGTGGCAGTCCGATCCCGAAAATGGAGTCGGGGTCCCAATCTAGCTGAGACAACGCAGACACTCTCCACTTGCCCTTCACAGCCCTGACCACACACAGACACCGTGCCTGCTCGCATTTTGTACCAAAACCACCCTCAGCCATTGCGCCTACCACCGTGGGACGTATTTGGGTGGCTCCGACTCCTTCTCGTCAAGGCGCTCCCAGCGCTGCCTGTGTGTATGGGAGCCATGCCAAGACACAGCACACCATCAGCACACCTCCCAGTCCCTCATGCGGTGTGGCGACCCACTCCACCCCGCCCACCCTTCATTGTCGGTGACCTCGTATTGGTCCTCCTCTCGCTTGGGGCCTATGGGCTTCATGTTGCGCTTGCAGCGGGGCGACCGGGGGGACGTCATGACGCTCGACGCGGCCTGCTGGCAAGGGGGCGGGGAGGACGAATGAATGCTGTTGTTGTCCATCACACGCGGGCTGAAGCAGGGGGCATCGCTGGCCTGTGGAGGGAGAGAGAGGTGGAGGGAGAGAGACATGTCTGTGGGCATGGGTGGGTGTGAAGTGGAGGCTGTAGGGAGAGAGAACTGACCTTATTGTTGTTGGTATTGTTGTCGTGTTGCTGGTCGAGGTCGAGTATTTCGCTATCGTACGGTCTGGCGTAGATCTCGTCCTCATCGTCGTGCACCACCACCTCGTCGTACATGTCCTCCTCTGCCCTCACACACTGACGCGATACGCCTATCAACTGACCCAAACCTGATGGATCATGCCACACACATCCATCCATCCATCCATGGCCTCCTTGTGTGTGTGTGTGGGTGCATTGCGGTGTGTATGCGTACCCTTGACGGCCCCCCCATTCATGCCGAGCTGCAGCTGCGGCACACGCACACGCTGCGGCGCAGATGGTGTCACGCGGCCGTTGAACTGATACATGTCACCTCTTCCCACACGGAACAACAGCGCCTTAGCATCACCATCAGGAGACACACCTGCACGTGTGACATACAAAGCACACAAAGAAGATGTGTACCCTCCTTCCCTCCCTGAAGCCCGCATTGTTCTCACCCTCTTGCTGCCCCAGCTGTTTCATGCCCCGCAGAATGACGTGTCCGTCCATTCCATCACCACCAACACCCCCACCGCCCTGAGCGTCATGCCCGTGTTGCTGCTGCTGCTGCTGCTGCTGCGATGCCTTGCGGCTGTGGGGTGGGTGTGGATAGCGGCCGAAGTGGGGTGTGTGGGGGCCGGAGGGGCAGAGGGGGAGGGGCACGGACGACAACTTCTTCTCTACGGCAGCTGCACAGTGCATACACACACACATGAATGGAAGACAGCTCATTTGTGTGCATTGATTGCATGGTTCTTCCCTTCACTCTTTTCACCCTTTCCCTGATTGACCTGGCGAGAGCTTTCCTTGGAGTCGGAGGTCGTGTACAGAGGGCGGCTTGCAGTACTGGTGGTCCCTCTTCTCCCACACTTCACGCAAATGCGCTACTGCTCCCACGGGCGGATACTCATCCAACACACCTCCACCTGGCAAAGTGACACACACACATATATCCATTGCAATGCATTCCAAGGATCCGCACACACATCTTGTACGTGTCAGAGGCGTGTTCTGGGCATACCGTCAGTTGGGCTCATGTGTACATCGGCAGGCTCGTCGCAGGCCATCGAGCTGCCACTGGTACCTCCCTTATCACTACCTGTCACAAGCGGACGGGAACATGCACAACAACGATGGCTGCCTGCCGGACTGTCTGGCCGCGCACGCTCTCACCCTTTTTGTTGTGTTTGCGCACTGCCATCTCGGCCACATCGTGGTCCGCCACATCACCATCAGCCGCACGCTTGTTCCTGGCACCACCACGTGAGCTTGAGACCATCACCTGCCGTGAAGCAGCTCCAAACAGGTTTGTACAGTGGGCATACGAATCTCTCCCATTCTCACCGGCCGTCGGGTCTCCTCTGCGATGAGCAGGCTCTTGTCTGACGGCAGCGGCTTGCCCATGAGGCCCAGCGCCATCGACTTTTCGAAGGCGTCCACCGCTTTGGCCATCTGGTGCACATCCTTGCCGGCGGCCAGCACTCGTTCCCAGCACTCCTCGGCTTTCTCGCGTCCGATTCTGCCCTTCCTCTGGACGGCTGCCGTGGCATCGTCACCAACCGTCTGTGCGAGACCCCTCAATTGGCCGAGAACAACAAGGATGCGCTCGGCGTCCCCCTGCGCACGCCCCATATGCGTTGAGATGCAATTGGTGCTGGCAGGTGCCGATTAGTTTGTAAACGGAATGACCGCCCCTCCATTTCCCATCGAAACGACCGACAAGTCGCCCAACCACGCACCCACCCATCCATTTATCCATCCATTTATCCATCCATCCATTCCATGTCGGTATTCATTGCACAAGACACAAAGACTCGTTCACAAAAAGACTCAACGTACACACGCCCCTCCTCCCATCCTTTGTCTTTTATCATTGCGTCTTTGTCTTGCCTCCTCTCCTTTCTCCCTTCTTTTCCTGGCCAAAGAAGATACAAAGATGGATACAAAGAAGATACAAGCGCGTGCGCGCCAAAGGCTTTTCCCTCACCCGGTTCCCGTTCCTCCCCAATCCATCCATCCATCCATCCTTCATCAGCATCATGTTTCGTTTCATCTCCCTCCTTTCTCTCCTCCTCGTTTGCCTCTCCGCCAAGCCATTCGACGCCAAGCCATCCGATGCCGTCAGATCCGTTCATGCCCACACTACCAATGCCACCACAACCGAAGGTGGGTGGCCACCGCACGGCAGATCTGCCCACTGCACCGACAGATAGCGACATATTTGATGCATTCCGTGTGGGTCGGTCTTTGTCTGCAGGCCTGACGATGTACGTCGACGGTAAGAGCAGGGCTGAGATGGCGGCCATATCTTCGTCTGCTCCATCCATATGATGTGGTGTGGTGCGACGGTGCAGTTGACGAAACCCTCATCTACGCCCGAGATGACTCCAATGAGAGGATTGAGGGCGGGATCTTGCACTTCCCCCATCCCTATTATGCGGACGAGGACCGCCACACCCTCCTCCGCCATCATGTGGTGCCCTTCTTGAAGAAAGTGAAGAGCCTGGGCGTAAAAATGTACATCTGGACCGCCGCAATGCCCGTGGTGAGAAGTAGATCTATGTTTGTACGACAGACGCATCATCTATTCTCGTGCCTCCCTTGCCTCCAATGAATGCAGCACGCTGATCCCGCCGTCGACAAAATCGAGGAGCTGGCTGGCGAGAGACTATTCCTGGACCGGTACGTGCGTATGTATTTGCATCTGTGACAAGACACGGATGGAGGAGAGGGATTCGGCTTTCTCCATCCACAACACCAACGCATCCATCCGTCCACCCACGCACGCGTGAACGTGCGTGTATGTATTGTGTGCAGGTTCTACAGAGACACTAAGAAGGCGACACCCTCCAAGCAGAAGGACGTCGGCTACCCCGGGCTGCCCACCAGAGGAGACGTCTCTCACGCCATCCTTCTGGACGACAAGTTAGTCTGAAGATCAGATCAAATCACCAAACAGTGGCTGGTGCGAGTGTATGTGTACCGTGTCTCTTTATCTGCAGCAAGAAGTACGGCCGTTGCCAGCCCCCCAACTACTTTCCCATCAAAAAGTTCAAGGGGCAGGTTGAGTCCGCCATGAGCCTGGTGGGCTGCCGCGGTCATTGAGAGAGGCCGAACAACATCCAAGTGGCCGGCCACCTCACCATATTCTCTCTCTCTCTCTCTGTGTGTGTGTGTGTGTTTGCGCGTCTGTGTGTGTCATTCGCTCAGGACGGTATGCTCTTCAGCACCATAGCGGAACTACACTATGGCCTGCTCGGCCTGCTCACAGGTGTGTGTGTGTGGTAGTGGGGAGGTGGCATATGTCTTCGCCATGCGCCTGTGTGGTTGTGTGGGTGGGTGAGTCAATGCAGACAAGATAAGCGACGTTCGGTGCCCCATTGGCAAGGAGTTGGTGGCAAAGTGGCAGGAATACAACCACTCTTCTTTCGACCCAGCCCACCACGACTTCACCAACTGCTACCAGCCACATTTCCCCGTGTGCCACGAGTCGCTGGTCACATCCCCTTGGCATGAGGGCGAGGCTGAGCCGATGGAAACCTCATTCTTGGCCAAACGGGGTCACAACAAGCTCCTGTTGTCCAAAGCCAGAAACCGCCGCACCGAGCAGTGAATGATAGACAGTCGGTGGGAGGGCAAGGCCGGGGGAATCGGGTCCTTTTGCGTTTGCCATATATGCGATCCATCCACCCATACCGTGATTCAATCCTCACACATACATGCGTATACATGCATGTGTGTACGAGACGGACGGCATACTTGCGTGACACAAGCGAGAAACACTTTCATTTCGGAGAAGGCTGAATATTCAAGCAACACCATTACATATTGTTTCAATGTCTGACGCGCACGCTCATGTCTTCCGCAAACCTAGCGTTAAGCAGTGGCTTACTCCTCAGTAAGTCAGCAGTAAACAAAGGAGATCCTCTGAGGATCCTCTCTGCTGGTCCAGACGCCTCTCCACTGATGTCTTCCTTATTGCCATAGGAAGGATGCTGACCTCGCCCTCGCCCTCTCGCTCCCTCTCCCTCCCCCCTTTGGCTGGCCTCATGCTCGCCGCTTGTGTCACATCCAAGGTGTCGCCTGACGTCCTGGGTGGCGCACTCAAGAGTGAACAGGACGAGCAGCCGTCCCTGACCCAATGAATGTCTTCAGCAGCTCTTTTTGTTCCCTGGGAAAAAACAGCAACACACAAACGAGCACAACCACGGCCATATTTATCCTCTTTATCCTCCTTAAGCTCACCGGGTGCTCTTCGCATCAGTCGCTGCATTGGCCCCCTCGGATTGCTGCACTGGTCGATGAGTGCTCTGTGATTTGGATGGATGACGGTGGGCGGCCAGTTGGCCAGTCGCTGCACTGGATGAATGTTGCTTCGCGCAACAAAAACAGCGGGACGGTCGCCCTGCTGGCGGACGGCATATCGGGGCATCAGAGCTGACCGAGCCAGCATCGGCCGCGGCAATAGGATGATGCGAGACACGGCCTGCATGACTCGCAGAGTGAGACAAACAGCAAAAGACATGTCGTTCTCATCCTTGCCTGTCCCACCTGTGTCTGCGTTGGCGCCGCGCTCATCGGCTGTGCGGGCGGCATGACGGTCCTGGTGACGGGTGGCGTCACCGTATGGTAGGAATCTCGCGGAATCGTGAAAGCTGGCTGAGGGGGCTGTGCTGTGTGTGTGGCGATGGCATGCCGAGATGATGGCGCTGGGGACTCGTCCAGGGGGGACTGCAGGACGCCCATCTCTTTGGCCATCGGCAGGCGACGAGAGGAGCGCCTACGCTCCAATGACCGGCCCGCTCTCTCAGCTGACATAGCATTATCGCCCTCCTCTCTTGGTCCCAGCTGGCCGACGGGACCTGATCCCTCCTGCCCACGCAGACCAGAAGACAATGTAATGAATATCGCCATGCCTCCTCATCTTATCTCCTGCCTTCCTCTTTGCGCACTTGTGTACTTCGACGGTTGCGTAGCATGGTGTTTTCCTGCCGCAGCTGATATATGGTGGCCGCCTGGCTTTCACAGATGCTCTCAGAGCTCTCGAGGGCCCGCTGGAGATCACGGATGTGCGCCAGGAGCCCGTCTGTAGCAAGTTGGAGGGTCGGCAAGGGCCCTCTTCCTCTGTCGCCTTCAGCAGTTCGGGCGTGCTCGTCTTCGTTGATGGTTGGCAGAGCGGGCAACGCCGATGGGCTCTGGAGTTCTTCCTGTGCGTGGGCCGACCAAACACATGAGAATTGCGTCACCCCCTCTGTGTGTTTCTCACACCTGTGTTTTTTGAAGGCGACTGATGGTTTCTTCCACGGATGACTCGGACTTCGCGAGTGCTTGTTCGAGGTAGGCGATGGTCTGCTGCAGCACGTTGTTGCGGGCCTCCAGCTCACGGATGCGGGGGGACTCCTGACCACCCGATGGTGGGGCTTGGTGGTATTCGGTGTAGATCCCGCCGTCGAGGGGAGATGGGGGAGGTGGCGATGATGCCATGCCGTTCTCGTTCCGCACGTTGGACGTTCTCTCTTCTTCTGTCGCTCGTTTCTTTTTCGTTCTCAGGTCGAATTGTAAGCTCGCGAATCGTGACTGTCACAGCGATCGAACGATGGTTTAGAGTGATGGATGGACACCGCTGTGTGTGTGTGTCCTGTCCGTGGCATCATACAGATGAGCAGCAGCAGCAGCATCCATCCATCCATGCATTGCATGCACTAGAAGAGATGTCAACGACACGCAGACAGACAGCCAGGAAGAGTGAGTGGTCACGGTACATCGCACAATGTGTGAAGACGACCTTCTGTACACACACAGACACACAGAGAGACACGGCACAGGACATGCACACAGGCAGGCAGGCAGGCACTGAGTGAGTGAGCCATACGGGAGCAAACAACAACCAATGTGATTGCGTGCATGATGCGGTCGGCCGGTCGGTGGATGGACAAGCTCAGTAATGCGCTCTGCACACGCCTGAAGGCGAGGCGAGGCGGACCACAGATGTATCATGTATCTATGCACACGCACACACACACATACACACGCGCACAGAGGCAGGCAGACCCCAAGCACACCATGACTTAATTCACAGCAGCGCCACCGAGCCGGCCACCAGCAAGCCAGCCCAGCGCCGCAACGCACACACACACACACACACACATGGACACACACGCGTGAACAGATAAGACGCACCGGAAGGCGGGGAGACAGATACATGGATGTTCTGGGGGACCGATCGCGATCGTGTGTGTGTGTGTGTGTGTCTTCGGGTCACATCGTTATCAAAGCATCGATCGCATTCGTCGCATTCGTTGCGGGAGTCAGTGTGTAAGTGAGTGAGTGAGTGAGCCAGTGTAGTCTCAAAAACAGGCGCCATCGATCGCATCGCATGATCTGATCTGCGCCGCTAGCAGTAGGCAGGCAGGCAGGCAGTGACATGCACACCACGTATACGTATACATTAGTCAGTGTGTATATGCAGGTATGCATTATGTATGTATGTATGCATGTATGTACGCATCTATGTGTACACATCGATATCGATCATCCTTCCCCCGGATGCAATCCAATCCAATGCAATCAACCAATCAACCTGACACACGCACGGACAGACCAATATAGGCTCATAAACCCTACCTACCTACACACACACACACAAGACAGATGAGATGCAGGGACACAGAGAGAGCAAGTAGGGAAGCAACAGGCGATGGATAGGTAGATAGATGAATGCACACCATAGCACACGACACCACACCTCAGCACACCGTCCACAAACAGCCCACATGCGGGCACCAGCATCCACCCAACCACCCAACCAAGCACCTAGCCAGCCAGCCATCCAGACCAATAAAGTATCGTCCGTAGAGAGATCGACAGACACACAGACAGGCACGCAACAGCCACAACACTCCATCTTCCATCCACACACAAAAACAGTCAGTCAGTCAGTCAGTCAGGCTACCACGGCCATTGTTGTGGAAGGCCCGTATATATATGTGCACCCATACGCACTCGCACCATGTGCCAGGCAGTCTCTGTCTGCAGATGTCTGGGTGCGCCGCAGATGGAGAACACAACGGACAAACAGGTGCTCGCTGCTGCCCTTGGTGTTATCCGCCCCGCTGCACACCCAGATTTCACAGACACGAAACGCCCGGCTTCTCGAGGGAAAGCTCCCCCCAGACAGATAGTCAGTCAGTCAGTCAGTCAGTTATACTCGCCTCGTCGTGTCGTGTATGTCATCATTCATGACCTGTGTATTCTCTCAGCCACACCGAGCCGCAGATTCAGCCGAGCAGACGGCAAATTTCCAGCTCAATGTGCGCAAACAGAACAACCAGGCCATGGATGGACGTAGCACGAGGCGCTTGTCACAATACGGATGTCGGTGCGTGTGTGTAGGCGACCAATCGACGTTTCTACTCGTGCCGTCTGTCTGTCTGTCTGTCTGTCCATGAGTGAGTGAGTCTCCTTACATACCAGGTTGCCCTGTCCTCCATTCACTACCACCACCACCACCATCATTGTGTCCTGGCTGTCGCTTGCTGAGCCCGCACAACACACACAAGCGGGCGCATGCAGGTCACATTAGCTAGCTGTACACACACACACACACACACATATGCAGAGAGAGAGAGAGAGAGAGAAAGACGGACAAACATTGACTGCAAAAGAACCACAAAACACACCAGCACACACACACAGGACACCAATGGGTGGGCGGGTGGTGGGTGGCACGGCATGGGCACGTACAGCATGAGACGACACGGCACCACAGCATGAGATGGCGCACTTACAAAACGCAGCGCAACGGCAACACACACACACACGCACACACATGCACGCGTACACAATACGTATGTACGTCAGAGGTACATACATGGGTGGCTTCTGCACATAACAATGCATGTACCTACCTACCTAACCAATCTCCAGTCTGCTCGCTCTCCCTCAAGTTGCAGCTATGCCGGTCTGCCGCCCTCCCTCCCTGTCTGTCTGTGTGCCTCTCTCAATTGGTACAAGCATTAGCCAGCCAGGTTGTCTGTCTGTCTGTCTGTCTGTGTGTATGTGTGTGTGTCAGATCGCGTGTGTGTCGGGCAAGCTATAGCTACCAAAGACCGAGCCGATCCAGTAAATCGGTTGAATAATGGTGAGTGAATGGATGCACCAGTGCGTCAGTGAGTCAGTGAGTGAGTTAGTGGGTGAGTGAGTGAGTTAGTGAGTGAGCAAGCGATTGAGTCTCATGAATGCAACAAAAGTCCTCCGAAGAGCAAAACAGAGGTCCATCCACTGCGCCAGCAAGCACACGAACACCACGCGCACACGCCACGCCCTAGAGCCAACGACAAACGGCCGAGAGACCAGCACGACACCGAGAGGGAGAGAGTGAGCAAGGGCCGACACCGAGAGAGAGAGAGACAGAGAGAGAGAGAGAGTGAGTGGTGGAAGAGCTTTTACCTGTGAGACCTGAGCAGCACGCCAAGTGGGGCTGGCTACCAAGAGCAAGGCGAGCAGGCACGACATTGCACAGCACACACCAAGATGGACGGACACATCATGTGGATGGATAGATAGATATGGACGCATCGCATATATCAGCCATACACATGCATTCAGGCAGTATAATAAGCAAGCAAGCCAGCAAGCAAGTAGATACGTCTCGGAAAAATCGACATCGGTCCACACAACACAGCACGACGCTCCTCAGGCCGCAATAGATCGATCAATCATAGGCATACAGGACCCACCAACCGACAAACAGACATACACACACACAGAGACACACAAGCTACCGCGCTCCGAGAATGTGTGTGTGTGTGTGTGTGTGCGTATGTTTGTTATGCACACACCACAAACAGACAAACAAACAGCCATCCAGCCATCCTCCCTTACACCTTCGCTAGTACACACCACACCACACCACACCATGTCTCGGTCGGCTATATACACCACTGATTGACCACCCGCACCAGCCCCACCCCCACCCCCTCCCTCCCTCCCTGACTCCCTCACAACGACAGACAGACTCAGACATGCTTAAAATGCCCGCATGCCTGTCCGTCCCGTGCTATAGTCACTTGTCGTCGTCCGACTCGATGGAGATGGGGCCCGACCCCCGCCGCTCGCGCGAGCATGCAGGGGGAGGTCCCTCTCCCTCCTTGTCGCTGTCTGACTCCAGAGAGCTCACACCAGACGCACCCCTCTCGTAAGCGATACCCCCACCCCTTGCCAATGGCGATGAGCTGTCCTTCTTCCTGCCCGCCGCTGCCGCTGCACTGCTGTCTTCCCCCTCCTTGTCGCTGTCGCTCTCCAGGCTGCTCACGCCCGACCCGCCCCTCTCGTAGCTGGCCCGTTTGTTCTCGCCACTGCTGTCGCCCTCATGAGCCCCCGACCGCCGGCCTGTGGGTGACGTCTCGTCCTCGACAAAGGCACCGAACCCCATCACAGGTGTCTTGCTGCGACGCGTCTCGTCGCCCCTGCCGCTGGCCCCGTCGCTGACGCGCTTGAGTGTGGGCGTGACGGGGTGGAGGGCCCGTGGGGCGCTGAGCGAGATGCGTCTGAGCGGGTCGAGCTGCTGGATGGAGTTGCGGGTGCGGGAGAGGGTGGAGATGATGTTGCTGAGGTCGGTCGAATCCTCCGATGAGTCCGTGTCCTCCTCGTCGGCCTCGTCTGCGGCACCGTGGTCTGCCTGTTGGCCGCCTCCCTCTTGTGTGTTGGTGCTGTCTTTTGGGAGCTTGGCGGGAGTGGTGGGTGAGAGGGACGACGAGCTGTTGCGGCGCAGCGCGTATCCCTCCTTGTCCTTCTCGGCGTAACTCCTGACACCCATCCACACACACATACACACATATGATAGGCCTGGCCTGTGCATGGCCCGTGTGTGTGTGCGTGCGTGTGTGTGTGTGTGCGCCGTACCGTGGGCTAATGCGTCTGGGTGAGTTGGTGGGCGGCATGCCGTCGATCATGTCGAGCCGCAGGGCCTGCTCAAACAGCTCCTTCTCCAGACTGTCGTGCCGGTCGTAGCAGTCATACTCGGCAGGGTACTCGTGAACCTGGGTGGCCACAAACACAGGAACCACACGTGTATGTGTGTCAGTCATCATTCCCCTCTGTCTGTCTGTCTGTCTGTCTGTCTGAGTCTGCCTGGCGTACGTACCTCTATGAGCGGGTCCTTCCATTTGATTTTCGGTGTCGACTCCTTGCAGTCATCGGGCGGCAACTCAGCTGGAGCCCTGTTGGTTGTTCCACAAACGAAACGAACACGGAGAAACACTCGTCAGCTGCTGGAGGAAGAGTATACCCCTTCCTGTCCTGTGCGTGCGTCAGATCTCACCACTGGAGGAATGCCATTGGAGTGCGCATCTCGCCGTTGGCAGCGTCGCCGGACCGCCGGTTGACGAGGCCCGGGATACACAGCCCCAGCCCTCCGCCCATCCCCGCCGCCCCGTCGTCCTTACTGCCGCTATCGTCCGTCTGCCCGCCGCTCTGCCGGTCGTCGCTCGCATCGGTGGAGCTGTCGCGAACACACGGCGACAGCACCCGGCCGTAGCGGTGCTCACGGAGGATGGCGTCGGGCAGCATCAGCTTGGTGTTGTCACGGGACTCGTCGCGGCGGTCACGAGCGTCGCTGGGCGGCTCGATCTGAGTCGCCTGTGAGCTGGGGGCGGGGGAGGGGGCGCAGGGAGGGGGGGAGGAGCAGGAAGGGGGCGTCGGCTGTGTGGAGCTCGCTGTCTTGCTGCTGGTGTCATTGGGTGAGGGAACGGTGGATGGCAGCCGCACGGTGGGGATGGTCAGGGGGCTGGGGAGGGACAGACGGGACGACGAGAGGGTGGTTGTGGTGCAGGGCACCACGGCACCCACAAACGGGGGCAGACTCTGGCTGCGCATGTAGATGGCCGACGACGGCTCGCGCGTGACGGCGCCCTGGTAGGGGGGCGACGTGGCGGCGCTGTCACCACCCAGCCCCTCAGCCGATGGCGAGAGTGAGGGCGACAAGACGCGAGGCGACCCCGCATCGCCGCTCCCCGTGCTGGCGTTGGCCGTGCTGCTCTGGCATGGCAAGAGGGGTACCTGCAGGTCGCCATCGGCCTCGCTCTTGACCGGGCTGTCCTCCTCCCGGATGGGCTGGAACCGCAGATCACCCTCGGTGGTGCCAGTGGTGGTGGTCTTCTTTTTCTCGTCTTCGTCGCTGTCGCTCTCGTACATGAGGAGGCTGAGGGATCGGTGTGGGGTGATGTAGTCGAGTGCCGAAATGGCCCGTCTCGGTGTGTGTCCCGCGTCAGAGTGCCGGCTGAGGTAGCTGACCAGGTTCCTCTGCACCATCTTGGGCGGCGTGCCCGTGCCCCCACCCACACCAACACCAACACCCACCCCGCCCAGCCACTGCCCCTTGTCGCCCTCGCTGACTGCCGGCATCGACACCGTGGCCGTGGGGAGAGGGAGACGCTCCTGCAGAGCCTGCAGCAGGCTCTGTCTGAAGCAGTTGGTGGCCTCGCAGGTGCTGTCGCATGACGCGTGACGCTCGAGGGCCAGCTTGAACGAGGGCATCTCGGCGAAGGAGTGGGCGTGGAGGGGCGCGTGCCGACGTGAGCCTTTGCTCACACCTCGAGCTGAGGGGGGGAGGGCGTGGCTGCGCGCGTCGACCATCATGGCGGGCCAAGCACACAACAAACACGCCCGGCAACAAGGTGACTAGAAAATCGACCTTCTGGCGCCGTCGGCGTCGCCAAAAAACAGAGGACGTGCCACGAGGGACGCCAGGATGCACAGGAAGTGTGTGCACCACCGTGCAGCCGCCATTCGAAAAGGCGCCGATCCGTGCGAGCTCAGACGTGCTCGCGCGAAAGGTGTTTGCTATGTCCAGGAGACCATGGATAAGCCCGGTTTATCTGTTTGTTCCCAACATCATCGGTGAGGGGCCGACGAACACATCAGCTGCACATCAAACAAACACAGAAGCACATGTTCCTCCCTGCCTCTTCTATGTGCCTCTCCATCCATCTGTGCTGTTTTGCTGCTGCTGCATGTGTATGTGTGCGTTGTTCAGGTTATGTGCGTGTGGTGCTTGCCTTTGTGGCCTTTGCCCTGGCGTATGTGACGTGGGTGGGGTTCGTCGTCTGCTACAGCACCTCCCAGGTGCTCGACGCTTTCGATGGATGGGCCGCAAGGAGGCTCAACCAAAGTGGGGTTGGCACACACCACAACTGCATGCCATGCAGCACACGTTGCTTGTGGATGGATGGTTTGTTCTCCGCTGCCTTTCACTACCTCTGTCAGCAACGCATTTCGGAGCCGTGCTGGACCAAGTGACGGACAGGTGGCTGGCTGCAGCGAGTGTAGCTACAAGCAGCACGCAGCACGGTGGACGGATGTATGTGTGTGTGTGTGTGTGTGTGTTTGTCAGGTTTTCGACTGCCGTCGTGTTGATGATTGACTCCCATCTGTATCCGCAATACTACTTCCGTAAGGCGGCGGCCGTCGCTGCATTGATATCATATGCCTTGTGTGGTGCCTTTGGTGTGTGTGTGTGTGTGTGTGTGTGCAGTATTCTTGTGCCTGGTGATCCTCGACATTGTGAGCCATTGGTTCCACATGTACAGGTGAGGGAGTGAGTGAGTCGGGGCGATTCGATACGCAGACAGTGGACAGCCGGCTGTGTGTCCGTGTGTGGATATATGTGTGTCAGTTCAGTGTTGTCGGGATCGTCGTCCCACAAGAAGATCAGAGCCAACATGCTTCTCAAGCTCTACTATGAAACAACTGGTCGGTAGCGCACACCGACCAACCACTCCATCACAGGTTCACGATGTCGGTCCCGTGTGTGTGTGTCGGCAAGGTGTGCTGTTTGTCTTGCATGCGGGCAACGAGATGTGCTGGCTGACCCTCTACGCCGTCACACAGCAGCCGCCAGGCATCATCCGATCAGCGAGTGAGATCGAAGAGACATATCAGCGTTCTGCCGTGTCCACCTCACCTTTCCTGCTATGATGTGTTGACCTGATCGTTCAGTGTGGGGGCTGGCAGTCATATGCGCGCCTCTGTCTTTGTGCAAGCAGGTGATCAACCTGGCTCAGCTGTTCAATGCGTGTCAGGAGGTGGTCAGGGCCGATGAGCTGAGACGCGCCAAAGAAGGCGTCGACGACAATGCCAAGAAGAGGGGGTCATAGACAGACACACTGGGCTACGTGTGCGAGCTGGCTTGGCTTCTTTCTGATCGATTCGATCAATGCGTCGGTTTTTTGGTCCAGTGCAGTGCATGTGGTTGCAGTGCGCTGTGTGTGTTGTATGTGTGTGGCGAGGCAGGGACTGTGCGATGGTTGGTTGGCAATTCGTGCCCTTGCTGAGTGGACAGGCATGCATCTAACGGACTGTTGCCGCTGCCGTTCGTCCGTCCGTCTCTCTGCCTGCCTGTCTGTCTGTCTGTGTGTCTCATTCCATCCCTCTGCTCTGTGCACCAAACTTGCAACGACCAAAACGGACCGACGCACCCACACAACACAAAAAGCTTCCAGACAGGAAAAACGCGTCTACAGCACATCCAGCTACCTGCAGGCATCACATTAATCAGGGCCCCATGAACACACGCAGCCACATGTCTGTCATGTTCGTCCGGCATGCCTCCTCTTACGTGACAGAGTAGCTATCGGTCATCGTGATCACGGCGGCGTCCCTGACACATGGCCACACAGACGCGTGTGTCTTCAGGCCGCCCCACCCTCTTTCTCACAGAATACTGACTGACCTGGCAGCTCCAGGTTCGGCAGCAGCAGCTTGAGGTCCCGCCACCCCACGATGCGCAGCGCCAGCGCCACTGTGGCAGGGAACTTCCATTCGGGGAGGGCAGGCTCCTCAGTAGACTTGAGCTCGACGCTGGCCGTGTTGTCGTAGCTCCAACGCGAGATGTAGATGAAGGCCGCGAACGGATCTCCCGGCTTGTCGCCGCAGAGGACGATCATGCGGCACCGATCCTCGAACCTTGTCGACTCGACCACGCGGCACGACCATGGAGTCGCCTCTGCCGCGATCGCTTCCATACGAGCATGGGCGACAGTACCGGGCCACACCAGGTGCTCACTGACACGCTCAGACACTGGCTTGTCGAACCTGAATGAGGGACATGTAAGACGTGTGTACCCGCAGAGCCCCTCTCATACCGATCCATGACAATATCCTGTAAGCAACCGGCAACACGGGGGCCATCTGGAATGACAAACAGGCAGGCAGGCAGGCAGGCAGGACAAGATCCATCCATCCGTATCACAGCATTCCCTTGTTTGTATCTCTCTTACGCTGGCACACGGAGGTGGAGTCTCTGTGGTTGTAGACGTTCTGGATGCGGTGGCCAAACCGCAGCGACACACGCACGCACTCACGCACACCGATGGTCAATGGATGGATCCCAAGCATCAGCCGCCCACAATGATCAAACCACAGCCCATGAGCAATCCAGTCCGAACACAGCCGGTGGCCGAACAGGAATAGCTGACGGATGGGCTCTGGCCGACCGAGGAAGAAGGCTTTGGTCCGGACGTGCACCAGATCAAGCACCGACAGTTGGATGGGCAGCGCCGTCTGCTCGCCGTACAAATCGCAAACAGCGCTGCAGCTCTTGGCGAAATGGAAGACGGGCACCCACCGCTCCCACGTCCCTCCCAGCTCCAACACGCACATGAGCTGCATGAGGAAGGCCACCCCCCCAGACCGGTCGAAAGTGATAATATCGGCAATGCGCCGCTTGTGGAGGAACATGTCGATGTACCGGCAGAGGAACGCACTGCTGATGGTCTTGTAGCCGAGCCACTTGGACGTCAGGCGGAATGCGGTGAGGCATGCAAATGAGAAGGAGCTTGCGATGCGCACGAGGAGGTCGAGAGGGAGGTAGCGGATGTGACCGCGGAGAGCCCGCAACTGGTCAGCACTCAGACCCAGCCTCATGGCGACACGCAATGAGTCACTGCGGCTGCACAAAGCGCACCTGAAGGGACAAACCAAACCGCCCATTGGTGCAATGCAATGCGTCCATGGGAGGGATGCGGCAGTCCATCTCTCACCGTGCAGGCTGCCGTTTCTACTTTCTATGGAGGCAGTATCGCTGCTGTTTGGTTGTTGCAGTCAGTGGCTGGCCAAATCACTTCCTCGACAGACCAGACGCCTGACAGAGCACAGCAGAAACAGAGCAGAGCAGAGTGACATATATGCCTGGTGATCCCTTCATCTGAAGAAAGATCTGCACGATGTATGCGTACCAGACTGCCATGGTGGCGTCTGCATGCCCTTTCCTCTTTCGAATGCAATCCACCGAAGAATGCTGGGTTGTGATAGCAGGGTCACTTACTCCGTGAAACCGCGCCTTTCAGGGTTTGTGCACGCTCAGCTTTGCAGGTTCCTCATTCCGTGAAACTGCTCGTCTGCAGAAGGTCTCTTCTCTCCCGGGCTGATTGTGGCTCGTATTCAGCACCAGAGAAGACTGTTTCTTCAGCACCACAGACGACAATCGTACACGTAGCGCGTTCTGAATTCGGCGGCAGCGGTGAGAGCGAATGCATTGCAGGCAGCGAATGCATCACCATGGATGCATCAGCCAGCTGGCACAAACAGCCAGGCATTCATGAGATGCATCATGATGACCACCTCAGTGCAATGCCTCTCTGCATGTGGTGCGTCGGACGTGCATGCGCCTCATTTATTGTATTGTTTGCAGGCTGAGCTGATGGAGGGGGAGCAGCAGGCTGACCACCAGGAGCCCGGGGACCAGCACGACGAGGAGGGTCAGCACGACGAGGAGGGTGGCCATGGTCAGGTCGCTGCCGCTGCTGCACACCCACAAGATTTGCTGATGGACAGCATTTGGCTGTCGCGACTCGTGTGGCCCTTAGCGATGCTGGGCACCCTCTACGACGCCATGAAGGGTACGCCTCGCTGCCTGCCCATGTGATGCCGCCTTGCATCTCTGTGTGCCGATTGATGCATTCATTCTTGATGTGTGTGTGGGCGTGGGTGTTTCCCTCGCTGCTGCAGACCCGCTGTGGCAGCACATCTGGAGGGACAGGGTCAAGCTCTACGGCGAGGGCCCGGCACACACCATCCCAGCAGACAAGCAGTGCTGCATTTGGCTGTGGCGGCACCACATCAGGGTGCGCATTCCCCTGGCAATGCCTGGCAATGCCTCCCGCCTCACGCCCGACCGGTGGCTCAAGATGGTCATCATTCTGGAGAAGCTTCACTCCGTCCGGGCCTTGCCGGCCAACGTGCAGACGCACTGGGGCAAGTGGGGCCTCCTCAAGTCGCTGCACTTCCACGGAAAGATCATCACCATCGAACACAATCACCTGGTATGTGCACACGTCTGCACAGCACAGCACAGCACAGCACAGCACAGCAGAGAGGGAGAGAGGGAGGGAGGGAGCGGGGGAAGGACTGTTTGAGCGTGGCTGACGCGAGGTACATGCCCTCGGTGTGCTCTGCCTGGCTGTGCGTGTGCGTCTATCTGTCTGCAGAATAAGTTGTTCAAGAAAGATACCGAGAGCCAGCTCCTGGCCATGCCGCTGGCCCTGGTGGAGCACGAGCTGCTCGCGCTGGCCGGCATGGCCGCGCCGCTGGACTCCATCGTGAGGAACGCCCCGGCAAATCCTGGTGCCGAGCCCACCATCGATGAGATCACCTTTGCCGCCCATGGCCGTCTGCATCACTGCAGCATCCGGCTGGCGCCAGGCGCCAACAACCAGCCCGCCAGCCAGCAGATCGACCCGCGCCTCACCATCTCGTACCATCAGCAGCCCATCCCCCTGCAGCTGTCCCACGCCGCACTCATCAACGAGATCCATCGGCACAAAAGGCGCCCCATCTTTAGGTACGCTGTGCGCCGCACCGCGCAGGGGACGGCGGCAGATGTGGAGGCCTGCCGGGAGTGGGTGTGTGGGTGGGCGGGGGGATTGGGTGGCGGGCTGGCGGCCATTTACCGATGCGGCATCCAGGAGCCCAACACCCCGCCGCAGCGGCCGCCCACCCTCTACTTCGTCCTCTGCGTGGACCCCTTCATCGTGGTGACATCGACCGACATTCTGCCGGCCGATGACGGCTTTGATGCTGAGGTATGTATATAGCATAGGGAGTGAGACGGATTGGATGCCATTGGGATGGGTGCAGTGCAGTGCGGTCATTCATTCATTCGTCGCTGTCTTTGTGTGTCTTCCCCTTAGGTGCGGATTGCCGGCGAGGCGGAGTCGCGCTGCCATGTCAGGTCACTTGCTGACCTGAACCGCGTGTTGGACCACCGCCAGTCGGAGAAGTACGCAGCGTTCGTGCGCCGCCTGCGGGGCCTCGCCGATTTCCCCGGCGTAACGTTCACCGCCACGACAGCCCACAAGTATCTCAACATGGACCTACAGTAGATAAGAGGCCGTGACAGACAGACAGAGAGGGAGGGAGGGAGGGAGGGAGTGAATGCAATGCATGCTGAACACACTCCTCTCTGGTGGGCAAGGTGACGTGATGTGAGTGACTAGTGAGGGAATGGCAGAGGATACGACCGATATGGATGGACTTAACACGCCAACACATGGGTGCGTGGGTGGATGGTGGCCTGAGAGGGGGACTGCAGCTTGTGCGTGCGCTTATGGATGGACGGATGGATGGATGGACTCACACCGAACGTGCGGTTATTGAAGAAAATGCTGTTACGAGTTGACAGGGCGCGGCGCTATCGGCTGCCTGATGATTCCTTAGCCTTAAGCGGGATGAAGCGCGTCTCAAGCCATTTTCCATTTGTTATTCAGTGCTCTCACTCCCATGTTTGTTTGTTGTGTCTCGGTATGTACCATCCATGTGATGTACACGTGTAGAAAGCACGCCATGCGCACGCCCCAGTGGAACCCCCACGTCGAAAAGACATTTGGTGCCGACCGACGTCCATCCCTCATTACATTCATTCACCTGTGCTCTGCTCTGTCCCATCCCTCCCTCGCTCGCTCGTCGCTCACTGCCCACAACAGACGGTGCCTCTCTCCATGCACCCGATCATGACTGAGTCACAAAAATATAGCTGTGGCAACACAGACAGACACGTAGGCAGGCAGGCAGGCAGGCAACACTCGTGTGAACGAACGCCAGTCTCTCAACTCGCTTCACGTGGTCATGTCTTCACTCCCCAGCCGGATCTTCGGTCAATCAGGGAAGAGACATCGCATCTTGTGTCGCGGCAGCTTCGTGTCGCAGCCGCACAGCACGCGACGCGACGCCCCTCCGCCGATCGATGCCAAGGAATACAGCTCACGATGGAATCCTATCTCCCATTGCCGCTAGCACAGCAGCACACGCACTGAAGATGCTCCTGGCACCTCTGACACGGAGGCTCTCTGTCTCGACTCCCTTGTCTTGCCAGTGGCGGACGTACAAAAGGTGAAGCGAATGAATGGGGGGCGGTCCCGCCTTACCTACCTTATTTTACCCACCTTACAAGACAGCCGGCCAGTCGGTCAGTCAGCCAAGTCAGTAAGTCAGTGGTTTGGGGCCGGTAGGGTACGGTACAGGAGGGTGGTGGGATGGGGGATGAACAAAAGACAAACATACACGAAGCACTGACTACACAACATTCGACCATACACATTCAGGCAACCAGCAACCAGGCAGGGAGACAGGGAGGATGTACGGACGTATGGAACGATAAAAGGAGGTCGCAGACAGACAGACATGCAGATAGACATGCAGATAGATGGCCATGGGTGGATGGGGCCACATGGACATGTACACACACACAGGGGTATGTATGTCACATCACACGTACCGTACTTCCCTGACATGTGTGTGCGGATGAGTGGTACGTGCTTACCATACACGTGACGTGCGTGTGTGCACGATTCCTTTGAACCCCTCTGTCTATGCATATATAGACGCATGTCGTGCATAACAGGACGGCCAACTGACTTGGTCGTCCCCTTACCCTCACCCCTCCCTCCCTCCCTCCCCCTCCCCCTCCCCTGTACGGTACGTGTGTGTGGTTTGGCAAAATCAGCTCTCGAGACACTGATGTGAATGCGTGTATGGGGAAAAAGCAGACAGTTCAGGACAAAGACCCGTCTCCGCGTACGTGTGACTGGCTGAGGGCTGCGTAACGGTGGTCGCTCTGACCCCCCTCCCCTCCCCTCCCTTCCTCCTTGCTTGCTTGCATCCACATTCTCTGTGCTGTCCACCGCCGCCAAAAGGCAACACAGACATGAACACCACACGCCGACGCGACGCGGCTCTTCTCATCTTATTCGTTCAAGTTGGCGATAAGATAGACCATGGAAATGAAATGAGTGGATGGAACGCAGGCATTTCAGGCTTGCGGACGTACTCGTGACATACGTGCCGAGCGACCTACGTCCGTGACGTGCGTGCGATAGATAGATACCATGCCCATCCCCACCCCTACACAGACAGTCAGACAGACAGGTGTGAATGGATGGATGCATGGCCGCTCGCTCTTATCTCATCAACATTGTCAGTTCCGCCGCAAGCAAGTTAATTAGCCGATGGGTCGGATGCCAGCCAGTGGAATGAACGAATGAGTGAATGAGTGAATGAATGAATGAATGGAGTAGACAGAGTTGCCCTGGAAAATGGCAAAAACACAACGACACGACACGACAAACCCCACATCATCATCAAGTAAATAAGTGGAGGGAAGCAGTGGTTGGTGTGGAGGTCTTCGCTCGTATGGTAGACGCACGGTAAATGGCTGGCTGCGTCTCTGCTTGTAAGCAAGTGACAATGACTGTAAACCACACCAACGGGGGCCACTATGCAGGCAGGCAGGGAGGTACAAGTAGCACAAATCCGCGCTTGTCCGTTCGTTTGCACTCGTAGTAATGGTGTTCAGTGATCGTTGCATTCGTATTAACCGTCCGTCCGTCCATCCCACGTGTGGGTGCATCGTGTGTGTTGGTGGCAGTGAATCAGTAAGTCAGTCCATCTGTCTGTCTGTCTGTCTCACTCGTCCTTTGCTTCGCTGCAGGGCAGACGGGACAACTACTGACCACCCACCTCACCTCACGGAACCACCTCACCCCGATGGAACAAGTCGTACCGTTATTGATACCCGCTATCGTACCGACCCTGCCGCTCCCACATCCACACATTCACATACACACACGTGCGACAAACTGACTGCAAAAGGGGAGCCACAACACGGCGCCACACGGCCCTACACACTCTCCGGAGCGGTGGATGGGATGGTGAGGGGATGAATATGTACTTGTGTGTGCGGCTGTCATGGTGATATATGTTGTGGGTTACGACGTATCGTAGTGCATGGTGTGTGCTGCCACTCAGTGAGTGCATCCAGCCAGCCAGCCGGCCAACCGTCCAGTCAGTCAGCCAAAAAACACGCACGCTGGTGCGTCCAGAAAATAAACGCCATCGATCCATCCAGCCCCCGCTCCCCTCCCTACGGATACCCATCGCTCCCCTGCTCCTGAGATCGATCCCCTCCTCCCTTGCATCCATCATCGTGACTGACAACCCTTGCTTGTCTCTCTCCCTCACTCACGGCCGCCCTCCTGCTCTCTTCCCTCCCCCGACTTGACAGACAGACCCGACCATGACCGTGCCACACCTACTGCCCACCCCCCTCCCCTCCCTCGGTCCCCCTCTCGCCACGTCAGCTGCCTGAGCTAATGAGCCGAGAAACGGGAGGACGCATGCAATGCACACACAATAGATGGGCGGGCGGATGGGTGGTGGCCAGAGAGGCGGGCAAGTCGGGTCTGTCTGTCTGACTGTGGCAGCTAGCTCACAGCGGCTAGGTGAGTGAGTTGGTGTAGGTAGGTAGGTAGGCGAGTAGGTAGGTAGGTAGGTAGGCGAGTAGGTGAGGTGAGTAGAGAGAGAGAGGGAGGTGGGTGGCTGAGAGAGCGAGAGGTGGGTGGGTGGGTGCTTGTGTAGGCAGGCAAAGCGACTGCGAGTCGGTTGCCGTCCGGACCCAGACCATACACACACACACATGGACACATTGACACACGCACACGTGTACACAGATGGGATGATGCAAGGTCATGGTCGCTAAGCACAAACAGACAGCCGCACAGAGACAGAAAACGAAAGACAGAAACCGACAGCCAGACCGAAAATAATAATACCCATGCAGCCGGGATGTACATGTATCCATGGATCCATCACACAAAGCGACAGGCGGACATGCACGCAGGCCAAGTGTAGTGTAGTGTAGTGTAGTGCATAGTCAGTGAGAGAGATGACATAGCCATGACCATATAGCCAGCCACACCAACACAGGAAGGAGGCACTCACTGTGAGTGCGTACCCTTACACACACGCATATCAAGGGTATACATACCGGTGCTGTTATTTATGAATGGTGGTCATGGTTGGAGGGAAATGGGAGGCACACATGGCATTCAGGCAGAAAAGAGGCAGCAGTCAGCCCGCCAGCCAGTCAGGCAGTCTATCGGTGTAGTGGTCACTTCCTTCATCCCACCCACTCGTATCACTTAACAAATCAACATACACACACACGTACCAGCCAGCCAGCGACACACACACCGAAAAGGCAGCACCCAATCCATCCATGCGATGTTCCTGGCTAGCTCGGCGCCCGCCCATTTATCCATTCACCCTCTCTCAAGCCGGGCGAGTGTGGTACGTCGGTGGGCGGCTGGGTGGACCTGGTCGATTGAGAAAAACAGAGCACAAGTGAGTAAGACAGCTCGCTCTCTTGCCGGCCAATTCTCGCTTTATTCGGGCGCCAGCGAAACAAACCTTGCTTCCCCCGTTTCTCTGTCTGTCTGTTCTCCCCCACCCCCCACCCACACACCCCATCAACCGTCAGAGCTGACCGACCATAGACAATGTAGTCCGTAAGATCCCCCACCACCAGGCACACCTCGCTTGATCCGTATGTACAACTAACACTTGCTGGGCTCACACCGACCGAAAAGCGCACACTCTCACCCGTACAGAAAGAGAGGGTGCGGTCAGCACACGTGTGCAGGCATCATGCAGGTGAGTAAGGGTGTGCGCGTGAGTGAAAAGGTGTTCGCCACTGACTTCCTACCGCATCCATCCATCCATCCATGCCCACGATAACAAAAGGACGCTTGCTGACATTGCTCGGTGAGTGACGTCTCGTGTCGTCCTTGCTTGCTGACTTTATCATCCAGGTGGGAATCTATCTAGTCATGGCCCATGAGTATGGGATACACGCATGGCATGCTCACACACGGAGGTGGTAGAGAATAAAACGACCTTTCAGCCATTCCTACGCAGCCAACCACCCTACCCCTAGCTACACACAACACAATACCCGCCCCGCCGCAACACACACATCCGGCGCACTCATGCGTGCCGCCCCTCCCCTCCCTCCCCGATGAGAGCATGCACACACGTGGCCACGCCCTCGCCAGACAGACATCCGTCAGTCACTTCCTTGATCTCGCTTTGCATGTTTCTCTCCCCTCCTCTTCTCGTGTGTCCAGTCCAATCGATCCATCTGTCCATCTGTCCATCCATCGCCCGCCGACGCACACACGTACATACACACACAATACACACGTCCGACCGCTTGTTCGTTCCGTCGTCTCTTAGAGCGTCCATCTCGTCTGTCTTATCCCAGCTGTCCCCCCTCACTCGTCTGACCACCGTCTTGTTTTCTTTCCACACACGAACCAACCGACGAATGAACGAATGGCCGAGCGGGGAGGGGATGCGGCAGAAAAAACACACCCACGAGCCCCTCTTGGGTAGCGCCTGACTGACTCAGCTATCAGAGGCCGGCCTGCCTCCGCAGGTCGGGTCGGGTCTAGTCGGAACCATGAGACGACGGACGGACATGGTGCACACACGACAGACGCCACACACACATACACATACACATTGACGGACATACGCATGACCAAAACTCAAGACCACCTCGCCCTCGTCTGTCTGTCTATGCGTGTTGCGTACAAGCTTGTCAGCGAGTGTGAAGGCAAGCAGGTGCCCGTCAGAGCCCCCAGAGTGCCTTATTGTGTCAGTCACATTGTGTGTTCGGCTGGCTTGACGCACTCACTGTCATTCCTTGTCTGCGGAGAAGGGACGGCGGTGTCTTGACCGTACGTACGTACACATGGAACCACACCACACCACACACATCCCCACCACGGATCGATCGAATCAAGGCAGGCATGTTTGTCTCCTGTTCTGTCTGCGGTGCAGTGATTGCATTGGATGCAGGCAAGGCAGCACTTACTCCTCTCTCGCCCTGCTCGCTGCGAAAAAGAGACCGAACGCACCCAATAATGAAGAGGTGGGATGCGCTCTTGGTGGTCAAGACGATAGACAGATAGTAGTAGCCGTGAGATGTTTCGGTCAGCGTGGGACAAAAAACTGTACGCGAGAGAGAGAGAGAGAGAGAGAGAGAGAAGTGGTGTGGTGTGGTGTGCCTGAGAGAGAGGTGGAGAGACAAAGTGATGAGAGAGGCGCACAGACAGACGAGCGGGACCGAGAGCGACACACACATGCCATCCATTTCCATTTCACGCCATGATTCATTCAGGTCAGCCATTCAGCAGCCATCCGCATACTTTACAGCAGCCACGCCACACAAGCGAGTCAGTGCGTCGTTTGATACCTTATCGAATCGACGGGTCAGTCAGTGAGCCAGGGGGAGGGATGAGAGCAGTGCAGCGATGGCGAGGCATCAGAAGAGCATATTTACAGAGACCACCACCACCAGCAGCAGCAGCAAACCGATAGAAAATCTCTTCCATCATCGTCCTTATGCATGCTAGCTACATGCGATCAGTGTTGTGTGTTAGTTATGTCTCTCTGGCTGTCTGCTGCCCGCCCGCCCGCCTCGCTCATCGATACAGCACGCGCCCACCCAGCCGCCCACCCTCACAGGCAAACAAAATACCAGCCAGACCTCTTTACAGCGACAAACAAGCAACATCACAGACGACATGCACACGGACAGCCAGACAGAAAGACAGATCGGCGCTGACTCCCAGACAGAGATCTCTTGGCCCACACACACACAGCGGCTGACTCACCGACAGTCAGGGGACACACACAAGTAAGACACACAAGGGCCCCTCCTGCATGACATGACTGTGCAGCCATTGAGTGAGTGCAGTGCGCTCTACTGAGGCGCAGCGCACACCTACATAACGTACACACATTCACACCCATGTATGTCTTGTATACGCGCCTACGGTTACCCATACACACACAACACACACACAGGACAAACAAAACAGTCACTCGGTCAGGGGCGACAGATGGAGATGGATCGATCTCAACCGGTGAATGGATGGATGGATGCTCGATGGAGCTGTTTTCTTCCTCTCTGCGTGTCCTCTTGTCTGTCTGTCTGTTTGTCCTCTCTGGCAAAGAGCGGGCCACATGCAGCACATACACATACGGGCAAGGCGGGACAGAAGCAGCCAGCCAGCCAGCCCGTCATCCCCCTCGGCCGTGCAAAAGCAAAAACACCACCGACCCAATACGTACGACACACACGGATGAATGAAACAAACCTCTCAAGATTGCCCCGGTCAGCCAGCCATCCGCGCCCGCGCACGCGCACGAAAGGAAGCGACGTACGTACGTAACCACAAACAGCTCAAGAGCGGCCCGGCCACAGTGTCGATCGGTCGAGGGAAGGCCCGTCAGTACACAAATGTCAGGGTGTGCGTCATACAGACAGACAGACAGTCATACATACACACGTACGCACAGACAGACAGAAGCTATCGAGTGAGCGATAGACAGACTGACTGACAGAGTCTCATCAGAGGGAGGGAGGGTGGGTGCATAGCTGCAAGCAGAGGGATGCATTCGTTGATTGCAGAGAGCCAGCCGAAACTGGGGTGAAATGGTCCCGCCAGACCGCCCGGCCCCCTCTGTCCCTCCTCCTCTCCCCTCCCCTCCCCCCTCTGACATCACCCATCCATCCAACCAATCAACAGCCAACCGACGCGCGCTTTCACACCAAATATGACGTGTGCGCCCGCGTATTCATCAGCCATCCATCCATCCATGTGGTCGAACACTCGGCTCACTCACTCAACAGCCACCCAGCCCATGAGATATGACACACAACAGCCAATCACTTGCCTCGCCTCGCATCGCCTTCTTCCCCTCCCTCTAGACACCGACCGACCGACCCATCGGCCAGCCGCCCCATGCTTGTCTGTCACGTGCCCTGGGGACGTCCGTCGTCTCCACTACACACCACACAACAGCATGGATAACGAAAAGAAAACACCCAGACGTGAACACACACCATACACACGACACAGAGGGGGGGGTGGCCACCTGCCACCAGGGATAGGGATGGATGCAGAGAGGACGAGAGGGGGAGAGTGGGGAAAAAAGAATGCGAGATCATATGCCAGAGTAGAGGGGCAGAGAACGAACGAACACCGACCACCGCATAGCATAAAGCCATCAAAGGAAGAAAGAAAAGCACGGACCACGCCCGTGGCGTGGCGTGGCGTGGCGAATCTTAGCACTCAATCCAACAGTGTAGGTCGGTCGGTCGGTGTGTGTGCGCTCTGCAACCGAGGGGCCTGGCCTGAATGAAATACACTTACGGCTTGCGTGAGCGAGCACCGACTGTACTGTACTGCACCCTCTCTCCGATACTCCCCCCTCGCCTCTCTCTGGGCCTTCAGCGTTCCCCTGATGCATGCATCCATCCATCCAGTCGTCATGTATATCATATGCATTGCAAAAACGGTCAGTCGCCGGCCCGGCAAGCGTGTGTAAGTGACGTGCCAGCTGGTTAAAGGTGGGTGACAGCGAGCGAATCAAGCACCGATCGATAGGATGAGCACTCAGGGATGACCGACCGCAGCAACGCGAGAAAAAACACACCATACATAGACACATACAGAGACACACCCTGGGAAAAGACGGACCGGGGTGATATGGGTCGATAGAGAGATAGAGAGATGGATGGACACCGGCCAGCCACTGACTCGCTCATACCTACGCACACGAGTATGCTCGCTGACATCCAGGCCAGACAGCCACCCACCCATCCCCCATCCATCCAGCCCATATGTTCCCACACCCACAGAGAGCCGGGCGGGGCGGGGAATGCCGTGGCATGCAAGTGCTCACACGTGTCAACGACGTCATGCAGAGAGAGAAAGGAGAGAGATCACATAGCTAGCTCCTTTGTCTGTCCTCTTCACTTGGGTGTGGTGTGTGCAGGCAGCAGTAGATCCGACAGCTGTGTGGCAAAAATTCAGTCGGCTCGCAAGAGGCAGCACTCGAGGGTGTGCGGATGAGCGTGTCTGTTGTGTTGGGCGTGCAGAGAGGACCGCACACACCGAGCGCTTAGATAGAAAGGGCAGACAAGACGAGCTGCACTTGCTAACTCTCTCTTTGGTCGATCACTCTGAGCACTCTCAGCTATTCCCCGCCCTCCCTCTCCCTCCCTCCCTCCCTCTCCCTCCAGTATTGTCTTACTGACAGACCGACGAAGAGGACAGCCTGTCTCTCATTCACACGCACTCATAGATAGGGTGTGTTGTATTGTTGTGTTGCTGCTGTAGGCAGGCAGGCAGGCACGTATGTGTAGCCATCTGTGGACGTGAGGAATGTGTCCTTCCTGGCCGGCCACCGACCGACCCATGAATGGAATGCAGGCAGGTATCAGACAGTCGAATCGAGAGCAGCACCCGGCCAGCCAGCCAGCCAGACAGCATGATTGCTGATCCAGGAAGGACAGACAGACAGATATATACTGACCGAACCGACCAATACACACCCACCCACACACACCCCCAGCCGGTGAGGTGAGCCACACACCATACCTCATCCCACACATAGATACAAAGAGGAGGAATGATTGAATGGACCACATGAGAATAGACACACGCCTACTACCCACACACACACGACACGACACGACATGGACACACGCACCCACCCACTCGCCGAGCCCACACACCCCTCCCCAGTCCCTCCCTCCCCACTGTCCGTGTACTGTGTTCCGTCAGTGAGTGGATTGGTTCGGTCAGCAGAGCAGGTGAGTCAGTCAGGCGATCATGAGGTCCCTCTTGAGTTGGAGGGTCATTTCTTCGCTCGTGAGGTCGGCCGCCTCTCGCGAGCACCGTGCTGTGTTGGCGCCCGACGAGTTGCCGGACCGCTGCTGGCTCTCGGTCTCATCTCGGCTGCTGTCGGCACCAGATGGGCCGTCGGCCGCACCCCGCCGGCTGCTGATGCTCGACGATGGGCTCGCGGCCGAACTCACAATGCTCTCCCGTGACATGAACTTCGGCAATGGGACCTGATGGCCACACAACAGACAGACAGACAGTGCGAGGGAATGTGGTGTGGTGTGGTGTGGTGTGCTGGCGTGTGTGGTTTGTCCGTCCGAGTGTATGTACCTCTTCGGGTCTGGGTGAGAGTTTGTATTTGGATGCGGCGAAACGCTTGGATGAGTCGTCCGACTTGACCGATTCGGTGTCGTTGTCAGATTGGCTGCTGGGCGGTAGTGTGCTGCCGCTTCCCAACCCTACCGGGGCACGCCCAGTCGGAGGAGGGAAAAACACCTTAAAACAACCCACAACACCACAGGGACAGCACCGCAGCACAGCGCACACCCAGCCCACACATCACACAGGCATTCTCGCCGGGCTTTTCTGGTGCAGTCTGTGTGTTGGGCGTACCGATCCCAGCGCGTTGGCCTTAGCAGGTGATGCAGTGGTGCTGCCGCTAGCGTCACTGTTGCTCATATTGCGGACGAGCGCCATGAGTTCCGATGACTTGGTGCTCTTGACCGACATGTCCAGCCCCGCCGAAGGGGGCGGCTGCGAGTGCGCGTGGGGCAGGGGAGGGGTCTTGGACGCTGATGACAGGGGGGGGTGGTGGTGCAGGTGCAGGTGGTGCGGGTGGTGGTGAGACACGTGCCGCAGAGCGTGGTGAGCGTGGTCTTGGTGGTGGGCGTGGCGGTGCAGGTGGGTGTGGTGGTGCACGTCAGCCGAGTGGCCGGGGTGGCGGGTGCGCTTGGGGTGCTTGCTGCTGCTCTCGGCACTGCTGAAACACGCTGAAGGGTGGCTATTCACAAACTGGCCCATGGCCATTGTCCTGACAGAAAGACACCAACAAACAGGGAAGGACCACCACACCGACAGACAGTCAAGAGCATCGGATGAGACGAGCACCCGAGGTCAACCATCCCAGGCCTACGCGCCATGTCTCACTCCCCTGCACCTCTTTCGGCCTCTCAGCTCTTCCCCTCCTTCCCTCCATGCTGCCCACCCCCCCGCGCCACTCCCCCCTCACCTCTCGTGGACGAGCTCGGCTTTGTTCTCGAAGGAGTCGTTGACAGAGGCCTTCTGGTGTCGCCGTCTGCCTGACGAAGGCTTGGTCGTCATCACTATCTACTCAGACGTACGATTGTGTGGCACGGTGGCCGACAGTTGAAAGGTGCTTGGACGCACCGCTCCGCTTGCTCCAGGATGATGTGTGAAGGAGCCACAATCGCGCAGAACATGTCCCGGGGGAGAAGACAGGTTGCTGTGCGCGCTTAGCTAATCCTCATTCCGTGAAACTCATCACAAGCTCGCAGTGGGGGGGAAAAGCTCCCGTGAGCCTCATTGACACGCCAGGTACGCTGCCAAGCACGTTGGAAGCACTCACCTGTCGATTATCACCGAGATCTTTTCTCATCCTGGTGTGTGGGTGCGTGGCTGTGTGCTGCAGGCTGAGGGACAGCCATGGCGTTCGTCAAGGTCGTCAAGGACAAGGCCTACTTCAAGCGCTACCAGGTGACCCCCCACACATCTCGATTGGGTCTCTGGACGCGCCTCTCACTCAGTGTGCTGCCTGATCTATGCTGGGTTGTGTGTGTGTGTCCCCCTGGCAGGTCAAATACCGTCGTCGGCGTGAGGGCAAGACGGACTACCACGCCCGTCGTCGGCTGGTGGCGCAGGAGAAGAGCAAGTACCAGTCGCCCAAGTACCGGTTTGTGGTGCGCATCACCAACCAGCGGATCATCTGCCAGGTCATCTACGCCACCATCCAGGGCGACCGCGTCATGGCCAGCGCCGAGTCCACCGAGCTCCCCAGGTACGGCGTCACCGTGGGGCTCACCAACTACGCCGCCGCCTACTGCACCGGCCTCCTCCTGGCTCGCCGCCTCCTCAAGACCGTCGGCCTCGACGAGGCCATCAAGGGCGTCGAGCAGGTGACCGGCGAGGACTACCACGTCGAGGAGGAGCATGATGGCGACCGCCGGCCCTTCAAGGCTCTGCTCGACGTCGGCCTGGTGCGCACCACGACGGGCAACCGCGTGTTCGGTGCGCTCAAGGGTGCCGTGGACGGCGGGCTGCACATCCCTCACTCCAACAAGCGGTTCCCGGGGTACAAGAAGAGCGAGGACGGCAAGGAGGGCGAGTACGACGCCGAGAAGCACAAGGACCGCATCCTGGGCAAGCACGTGGCCGAGTACATGAGCCAGATGCAGGAGGAGGATGGCGACAAGTACGAGAAGCACTTCGCCAAGTTCATCGCCGCCGGCATCGACGCTGACGGCCTCGAGGACATGTACACCAAGGCACACGCAGCCATTCGGGCCAACCCCGACAGAGAGGCCAAGAAGCGCGACCAGGAGCCCGTCCACGTGCGCGAGGGCAACTTCATCCAGACCAGCACCGGCAAGTACGAGCGCCGCGTCAAGTTCAACAACCAGCAGCGCAAGGAACGAGTGGCGCGCAAGATGCAGATCGCCGCCCAGATGACCCTGGCCGCTGCTGGCGGTGACGAAGACGAGTGAGGCAGTGGGGGGTGACCGACCGACATGGGATGGCAGCAGCTGTGACTGATTGGCGCGGTGGGCAGGCAGGCAGCGGGGATTTATAACATGCCCTGCCTGTTGGTCTGCCTGTCTTGTCTCCTGTCGGTTGCCGCTGCGCCACTCGTGTGTGGTGTGGTGTGGTGGACGCGTGTGTGGGGGGGTCATTTTGAATCTCTCTGTGTATGTGGTGCGACTTGATGTGCTGCAATGCATTGCATGCACAGACACGGTTCATGCCATGGGTTGAATTGGTCACTTCACGGACGGACGGATTTCTCCAACTGTCACCTCATACCATGTACAGTACCCGCCATCACGTCACCTCGGCTCACCTCTCCTTGCCCACCGGAGAGTAGTGTGTGCAGCATGCATTGCATTCACCCCAGCCCGCCATCCCTCCCTCCCGCCCTCCCTCTCTGTCTGTCTGTCTGTCTGTCTGTCTGTCACGGCCTCTATCTACTGTAGGTCCATGTTGAGAAACTTGTGGGCTGTCGTGGCGGTGAAGGTGACGCCGGGGAAATCGGCGAGTCCCCGCAGGCGGCGCACGAACGCTGCGTACTTCTCCGACTGGCGGTGGTCCAACACGCGGTTCAGGTCAGCAAGTGATCTGACATGGCAGCGCGACTCGGCCTCGCCGGCAATCCGCACCTAAGGGGAAGACACACAAACACACACAGCGACGAACGAATGAATGACCGCACTCCACTGCACCCATCCCAATGGGATCCAATCCATCCCACTATGTATATACCTCAGCATCAAAGCCGTCATCGGCCGGCAGAATGTCGGTCGATGTCACCACGATGAAGGGGTCCACGCAGAGGACGAAGTAGAGGGTGGGCGGCCGCTGCGGCGGGGTGTTGGGCTCCTGGATGCCGCATCGGTAAATGGCCGCCAGCCCGCCACCCAATCCCCCCACCCACCCACACACCCACTCCCGGCACGCCTCCACATCTGCCGCCGTCCCCTGCTCGGTGCGGCGCACTGAGCACCTAAAGATGGGCTGCCTTTTGTGCCGATGGATCTCGTTGATGAATGCGGCGTTGGACAGCTGCAGGGGGATGGGCTGCTGATGGTACGAGATGGTGAGGCGCGGGTCGATCTGCTGGCTGGCGGGCTGGTTGTTGGCGCCTGGCGCCAGCCGGATGCTGCAGTGACGCAGACGGCCATGGGCGGCAAAGGTGATCTCATCGATGGTGGGCTCGGCACCAGGATTGGCCGGGGCGTTCCACACGATGGAGTCCAGCGGCGCGGCCATGCCGGCCAGCGCGAGCAGCTCGTACTCCACCAGGGCCAGCGGCATGGCCAGGAGCTCGCTCTTGCTGTATTTCTTGAACAACTTATCCTGCAGACAGACGCACACGCACAGCCAGGCAGAGCACACCGAGGGCATGTACATCACGTCAGGTCAGCCACGCCCAAACATTCCCTCTCTCCCTCTCTCTCTGCTGTGCTGTGCTGTGCTGTGCTGTGCTGTGCAGACGTGTGCACATACCAGGTGATTGTGTTCGATGGTGATGATCCCTTTGTGGAAATGCAGCGACTTGAGGAGGCCCCACTTGCCCCAGTGCGTCAGCACGTTGGCCGGCAAGGCCTGGACGGAGTGAAGCTTCTCCAGAATGATGACCATCTTGAGCCACCGGTCGGGCGTGAGGCGGGAGGCATTGCCAGGCTTTGCCATGGGGATGCGCACCTTGATGTGGGGCCGCCACAGCCAAATGCAGCACTGCTTGTCTGCTGGGATGGTGTGTGCCGGGCCCTCGCCGTAGAGCTTGACCCTGTCCCTCCAGATGTGTTGCCACAGCTGGTCTGCAGCAGCGAGGGAAACACCCACGCGCACAGACACCCACACACACCCACACACACACACACATCAAGAATGAATGCATCGGCACACAGAGATGCAAGGCGGCATCGCATCGGCACGCAGCCAAACGTACCCTTGATGGCGTCGTAGAGGGTGACCAGCATCGCTAAGGGCCACACCAGTCGCGACAGCCAAATGCCGTCCATCACCAAATCTTTTGCAGCAGCAGCAGCAGCAGCAAGCTGACCGCCCTCCTGGTCGTGCTGACCCTCCTCGTCATGCTGACCCTCCTCGTCGTGCTGGTCTTCGGGCTCCTGGTCACCACCCTGCTGCTCCCCCTCCAACAGCTCAGCCTGCAAACAATACAATAAATGAGGCGCATGCACGGCCGACAGAAGCACATGGAGGGGGTCATGCTGCATCTCATGAATGCCTGGCTGTTTGTGCTGGCTGGCTGATGCATCCATGGTGATGCATTCGCTGCCTGCAATGCATTCCCTCTCACCCGCTGCCGCCGATGAAAGCGGTCTGTATACGACTGTCGTCTGTGGTTCTGAACAGTCTTCTCTGGTGCTGCACACGAGCCACAATCAGCCCAAAGAGAAGAGACCTTCAGAACGGGCAGTTTCACGGAATGAGAAACCTTGCAAGTCTGCAAGCTGAGCGTGCACAAACCCTGCTAATCAGACCCCAACATTCTGTGGTGGTGAACGATGAGTCGAGGCATTTGTTGGATCTTTGTTTTGACGCATACGCTGCCCCTTGTCTGCAGCCACCGCCCGCCATCCGTAGATCCCGATGCAGCGCTGCAGGACATCGCCCTTGACGAAGGCAGCCCCTTCCTCGCCCCATTCACCAACCCTGATGTGACAGAGGCCGTCGCAGCCTTCACCACCGCCCTCGACAGCAACGCAGCAGTGTCTGATGCCTTCCACACCGCCCTCAATGCAAGAAGCAGTGAAAAGGAGGCAGCGGAGGCCTTCGTCGATGTGCTGGAGGCAGATCCGACCATCATGGGTGCGTATCAGCGGATGGGCGAGGTGTTCGCGACAAGAGTGCTGCCTGCCATTGAAGAGGCCGGGGAGAGACTGGAGGCACAGGTCATGGATGGTGCCAATGACGGTGCAAATGAGGGGCTCGAGCAGCTGCTGAGGTCGGCTGAGGGCTTTGTGGGCGGCGGCGGGCAGTATGGCGCCACTGCCAAGGTGCTGAGAAGGACGCAGATGAGCCCACTGAGGAAACATGCTGACGCGTGAGGGAGGGAGGGAGCTCACAGGACAGGACAGGACCGATTGTCTTTCTGGTAGTCTGTCTGTGTGGAAGTCTGTCGTGTGTCTGTCTGGTGTGCTGCAGGATGCGCCCTCTGCTGATGTCCACTGAGACGGGCGACAGCGCCACCACCATTGATAAAGTCGACATACCCAAAACATGTTAGTTAGTGTGAAAGGCATAGGCATGCACACGCTGGCCCTGATGAGTGGCGATCGTTGGCCTGGCTGGTGTGTGTGCTGTGCTGTGCTGTGCTGTGCTGTGCTGTGTGTCAGTTTCGACGGCACCTGGCAAGAAGAGCGACCTCGGGGAGACGCTCAAGACGGGCACATACTTCGCGCTATGGTGAGCACTGACTGCTGACGCCGGGAGGCTGATTTGATTTGTGCGTCGACGACGGATTGTTTGCTTGTTTGTTTGTTTGTTTGTTTGCTGACTGACTTGTGTTAGGTATGCGTTCAACATTCTGTACAACATCTACAACAAGCAGGCGCTCAACGTCCTGCCCAACCCCTGGTCCGTCGCATGGGCACAAATGGTTAGCTTAGCCGACAGAGACCGATGATAGCCAGCCCAGCCACACCATGTGCTGTGCGCCTTTGTGTACCTTTATGTATGTGTGTATGTCTGTGTCGTCAGTTCATCGGCATTCCGCTGTTCCTGCCGCTGTGGCTGACGGGCATCAGGAAGGCGCCGAAGCTCAAGGAGGGCGCACTCAAGACGCTCATCCCACAGGGGCTTTTCCACACCGGCACCCACGTCGGCGCCGTCGTCGCACTGGTACGGAGGAGAGAAGGCAAGAAGAAAGAGAGAAGCTGCGAGTGCATCTTTCACTCTTCTCGTCTTTCTTTGTTCGTATTGTGTGTGTAGGGCGCTGGTGCGGTGTCGTTTGCCCACATCGTCAAGGCCGCCGAGCCGGTCTTCACTGCCGGGCTCTCAGCAGCGGTCCTCGGACAATACCTCAGGTAGGTACGCAGCGCAGCAGGGCAGGGCAACAGGGATACTCCAGTACATTCACACGCCGCCTTCCCGCTTATCTATCCATTTGTTTGGGTTGTTGTCTCTCTCTCTCTGTCTGTGTGTCTGTGTGTGTGGTGTGTGGTGTGTGGTGTGTGCAGCCCCATAACGTACAGTGCGCTGATTCCTGTGGTGGCTGGTGTCGGCCTGGCGTCGGCAAAGGAACTCTCATTCACCTGGACTTCATTCGGTAGGCGGGCAGAGAGAGGGAGAGGAAGAGGAAGAGAGGGAGAGAGAACACCGGACGCTCAGCGCCACTCCTGCCTGCCTGCCTGCCTGTCTGCCGTGCCGCGTGTGCAGGTTTCGCCATGCTGTCAAATATATCGTCGAGTCTGCGGGGCATCTTCGGCAAGAAGACCATGAGCGACCCCAAAGCAGTCGGTACGTACGGACGCAGCAAAGGCCTGCCTGCACGAGCCACCCGCCAGACACAATGCATGCCTCAACACTGGACGGATGCATCTTGGCTTTCTCTTGGCGCCTTCAGGTGAGAACCTCACGGCAGCCAACCAGTATTCGCTGCTGACCATCATCAGCTGCATCGCTCTGCTGCCACTCTCGGCAGTGAGCGAACAGAGATACGAGACCTATCAGTCACGGCCGTCTCTCACCGCATCGTTGGTCACTCTGTCTGTCTGTCTGTTCATGTAGTTCTTCGAGTACAAGACGCTCGTGCCCAATTGGCAGGCGGCCGTGGCGAATGGCGTCACCGACTTGGCCCTCGCCAAACTGGTGGTCCTCAGCGGCATCTTGTGAGCGCTAACCGCAGCAGTTTGCAGCACCTCACACATGCCATGTGTATGATTGCATTGTTTGCCGCTGTCTGTTCTTAGCTATTACCTCTACAACGAGGTTGCTTTCCTGGCGCTGAGTCGCGTCAACCCGGTGACTCACGCCGTTGGCAACACGATGAAGCGTGTCGTCATCATCCTGGCGTCCATCGTGGTCTTCCGCAACCCCATCACGCCACTGGGGGCCATCGGCTCGGGTGTGGCCATCCTCGGCACACTCCTGTACTCACTCGCCAAACAGAAGTTTGGATGATTTGACAGACGGGGAAGGAAGGGTGCATTCATTGGTCAAGGGGCAGAGAGAGGCCGAGAGGGAGGGAGGGAGGAGAGAGAGGGAAATGCCCGAGAGATTTTTCCACGGATGCGGGCGGGTGAGAACGAGTGCGAATGTACGATAGACACGGCGGTGCTCTGTAGAGGTACACAGAGGAGATGAGACAGACGGACGGATGGGCTGCGGGCGGGGGTAGTCCTCACGCATGGCCATGAGGGGTGGGATGGATGGATGGATTCTGGTCGGTGAGTGGCAGGTAGAGTGATGTGTGATTTCGTGCGTGGCTTGTCAACGAAGTGATGAGAGCTGCAGACCAGCTCAGAGTCACTACAGACGCCATCGGTATGGGGCTTATTGTGTTGTGTTTGCTGCTGAATCTGCCTGCCCTGCGGCGCCCATCAAAGGGCGTCATTCTGGTCGACGGAACTGGCAAGAAACGCCTGCCACTGGTTGCCACTGCTATCGATCAGAACGGCGCCCTCGATGGGCTAGCTGCAGGGCGATCCGAGTGGCCACCCGTAGCTGCACTGCATGTGTCGTGTGATGCGACAACACTTCATCTTTCGTCGGAAGAGACTTAATCGCATACCTCGCATCAAGCGCACGCAAAGAGTCCGTCAGTAATCAAGTCACATCGATCATCCTCTATCATCTACACACACACGTTCGTGTACATGTGTCCGTCCTTGCACCCAGTTCCGGAGCCGCAAGAGGCCGCCCAAAAAACTCTGTCAACACGTCACTCAAGACGTGCCGTGGAGCATCATGGGATTCCCCTAGCGTCTCCGAAAACCGCAATGCAAGGAAGATCACGACTCGCAACCAAACATCTGTCATCCATCAATTCAGCGACGTGGAGCTCTACCCGCCCCCCGCCTGTTGTGCTGCATCGGCACCCCCAGCGGCAGCATCAGCATCAGCGGCCGCGAACTTCTCCCCGGCGGCGTCGAATGAGTCCATGGTCTGCCCGTAGGGAGCCTCGGTGGCGGGCAGCATCCACCAGATGATGAAGCACAGGCACAGGCCGATCGTCAGGCCCAGGATCAGACGCTCACGGATGTGCCGGACACCTGACAGACAGAGAGACAGACATGGCAACACGCAAGGACGGGTGGGAGGAGGGAAGGTGGGTGTGGTGTTGTCATTCTGGTGTGAGAGTTACCTATGCGATGGAGGAGGCGGTCGACGTCTGGGAAGTACTGGCCTGCACGACGAGACAGCCAACCAACCATACAGATGTCACGCTGACCATCTGTGGGTGTCTTGTTTGCTCCTGCCCGCCCACCCGCCCACCTAGTCTCCCGACGCCTTCGCCGATGTTTTTGAACCGTGCCCGCTGCGACGCCAGCATATCACGAGTGGACGTGCCCTGCCTGCATCACATCACACAAGACACGACACGGCATCAGACAAGAGTGAGTGCGTGTGTGAGTGTCCACTCGCATCGATAGTAGGGGAGGCATGAGCGAGGGCCCCGCCGACTCGGAGAAGCAAGCAGCACATGCCATGTGTGTGGATGTGTGTGTGTCGGCTTGCGATGGAAGTCTATGAGCAAAGGGTATCGGTCACTCACGACGACGGGGTCAAGCCTTACTCTAAGGTTGCAACCGCTCCTCCCAGCCAGCCTGCCTGCCTGCCTGTGTGTGTGTGTGTTGTCTGGTGTGTGTGCATTTGGTTTACCCGAGAATGTCATCCAGCATGGTGAGGGAGGTGTCGAGCGCCGTCCTCTCGCGGATCAGATTGGCGGACGCGTCCGACGAGTCCTGACGGCGGTTTCTGAAGCACGGGATGGATGGATGGACGCGATGCGTGTTGTGTTGTGTCGTCTCGTCTCTTCTTGGGCGCCCCAGCAGTGTGTTGGGTTCTACTACCTACCTAGCGTTGCCCATCAGGTTGATGTGCTGGTACTGGTACTCGAGGCTGCCCTGAAAGACACAATGCATGATACATACAGACAGAAAGGCACACAAACACTCCAACCCACCCAACCTCTTTGGCCCATCCATCAGTGTCCACAAAGCTTTGTGTGCAGTGCGTACGGCTGTCTTTCTGTAGCTTCGTGAGAGGTCTTGGAATATGTCGCGGAACCGCTCCATCTGCGCCGTCTGCTGCGGATTCTGCGCATGACGGGGGAGCTTCGACACCAAATCGGTCGCCTGAACGCCCACATTCACGTTCAGACAGACAGACAGACAGACAGATGGGGCATGAAACGTATGTATGGAACCAGGGAGCTCCCTGGGTGCGGTGCGACCTCTTTGAGCCCCCTCTCGATGTCCTCTTTGATGTCGGCAACGATGTGGATCTGGCTCTCCAGAATAGCTGCACGGCTGCCGCTGCTCGACGCGCCACTGAACAGCCAAGCCACATCACACAAGAGCTGTTTGTTTGTCGTCGTCATTTCCTGCCGTGTGTGCCCCCCTTGTATCTACTTAGTTACCTGCTTGATGAGGCCGCCTGCTGCTGCTGTTGCTGCTGTCTGTGCTGCGCCACAGAGGTGTTGAGCTGCGATAGCTCCTGGAGCTTGGCCTCGAGCTCAGTTTGTAGGTGCCGCAGCCTCTGCTTGAGCAAGTTCCAGCTGTCAAGCCCTCCTGTGTCCATCTTCAGTCGGGTTCAGCCTCGGGTTGGGAGGAAGCCCTCACTCGTGCCAGACGCCAGCCATACCCTAAACCTCAGAAACCCTGATCGTGTTGGAGATCCACATCCGCTGCAGATCTGCCTCTGTTTGTGCTGCGCTGCCCAAGTATGGCGACGCCTCCCCCAACCTTCGCCAGTCGGCTGCAGAGCGGCGCCGTGGCCATCTTCAACAACATCTTCCGAGGCCCCTCCGTCGCTCATTCCATCCTCTTCGGCGCGGGGCTGGGCCTCGCCATCTACCCCCTGCAGCTCAGCTACCTGTTCGTCAAGACGGCATGGTTCGACTCAGAGGCCATTGCCCTGGCCAGCCGCAAGAGGTACCAGGACAAGCAGCGGTGCCACGAGGCGGAGCTGGACGCGGCGCTCAAGAATGCAGCCATGGTGGACTATGTGCAGGAGTATGACCCGGTGGCGGCAAGACTGCCCTTTCAGAAGCTCGACCCCTACTACCGATTCTGAGCCAGCTGTGGAGCTTACAAGTGCTGGAGTTGCCCGCTGTCAGACTTGCTGTCTGTATGTATGTGGCTGATTGATCGAGCACGGGGCTGTCAGAGTGAAGCGGTGTGTTTGTCACAGTGGTCCGATGCGAGGGTTGGCACCTTTGCAGTGCAGTAGTGAGTGGTCTGCTGCCTGTTTTGAGTTGACGTATGTATCTGTGAACGATCGCAGATATCTGTGAACGATCGCAGATATCTGTGAACGATCGCCACCCCACATTCTGATGTGGGGTGGCGTGTATGGTGTTGATGTGCGCCTACGACGGACTCGGTTGCCGCTGCATCTTGCTTGACTTCCTCGGTGGCACTGGGGCCCACCGTGACCACGGTCAAGCCTGAGTGCCGCTGGCGAAGGCAGCATAGGGGCAGAGGCAGCAAATTCAAGGACATTGGTGTCGCACGCGTATGAATGGCCGATGTGCCATTAAGGGGATGATGAATTCCTATTGACAATACACAAATACACAGAAAAGAGTCTCCTACCAGGATGGCGCGCACGCCCCCCTCCCTGGCCGCCCGCCTGGCTGCCTACCCCCCTCCCACAAACTCTCTGACGGCCTCATTGTTCCTCCCCTCAATGAAGGCCAATGCCACCCTGCCCAGCCACCGCTGGTGCTCATACTCGAGCGGACCACGATAGTGGGACGGCAGGGCATGACGCACCAGACTCTCCACAGACCCACGGACACCACAGCCAGCCACAGGGCACACCACCTGCCCAGACCGGACAGATGTCGACGGCTGCTGCTCGGCCATTGCTGTTGGTGTTGGTGTTGGTCGGGCCCTCACCCCTCCCTCCAGCTCGCTGAGCATACGGTGATCTGCGCCGAGGAGCCGGTCGATCGTGTGCTCCAGGAGCTGGTGCTGGGTGGAGAAGCTCTCGCCGCACCGCACGCAGAGGAAGCTCTCGCCGTCGCCCCCTCCCTCTGTCCCATCGCCACCTTGCTGCTTCTGCCGCTTGGTCGCTCTCTTCCTCTGCCTGGTGGGCGGTGCAGCAGAGGCCGGCCCATGTGAGAGCAGGTCGATGACCATGTCCTCCTTCTGCTCCTTCTTCACACCCACCGTCCTCCTCTGGGGTGGGGGCCTGGCCGACGCCGACGACCCCAGGGAGTCCTCCGCGAGATCAATCATGACCGCTGGCCGCGGGGCCTGACCATCGTCCTCATCCGACTCCAAGTCGCTATCAACCTGCACGGCCTTCTTGGCTGCACTGGTCCTGGCGCGCTTCTTGCCTTTGGCCTTGCCCTTCGCCGCCTGGTGCTGCTGGTCGTCTGACCTGCCCTGGGGCCGCCTTCGACGCTGCTTGGGTGGGAGGGGTGGATCGGCGTTGTGGCCGTGTTGTTGTGCCCAGATGGTGATGGGTGGCTGGTTCTTGGGGCGGCGGCGTGCGGCGGCCGCCTCCTTCGCCTCACGACATGTCTTGCGCTGGTGACACACCCTGAACAAAAGAAAAACAAGTGTGAGAATTGCAATGGACGGACGGACGGACGGACGGTCTGTCAGTGTGTCTGTCTATGTGTGAAGCTCCCTCCGACGCTGACTTGCATAGTGTTTGCAGGTTGTCGATGGAGCACTCGCCGCCTCCGCGGCTGACGGGCACGATGTGGTCGGCCTCCCAGCACCGGCCGTCCATCGGATTCTGGATCAGCGCCATCAACGCAGCCGTGCCCTTCCACTGATTATGGACATAAACCACACAACACACAGACACACAAGATTGATGTTATGTCACGCCAGTCGTGCTGTGTGTCGTACTCACTCACCTCGGGTGCCTGCTGAATGACGAAGTCCTCGCGGCGCTTCAGGTCGGTGCCAGACTGACACGCAAACGCACACAGCACGGCACCGACCAGAGGTAGGAAGGATGGGGTTCTGGGTGTATGTGTGTGCTCACTTACTCACCATTGTCCTGAGGTCGACCACCAAGGAGTGGCAGTCGAGCATGCAGTGGTTGCAAACGCCCTTCTCAAGCTCAAACAACTGACATTTAAACAAAGTCAAGTCACCCAGACAGACAGACAGACAGTCACTCGCGGTGTCTGTCTGTCTGTTCATCCGTACTTACCTGTTTCCTGAGGCTGAAGTGGCTCCTCTTGATGAAGTAAGAAGCGCGGCACTCCCCGCAACAGAAGAGGTCCGCCTCACTGCACTGACGGACCTCCTCCCAGCCCTCATCACGATGCCTCTGCTCGGGAGGCTGCGATGCCTCCTCGTCAACATCCATCGGCGCAGGGCCACCGTCATCTGCAGCAGCAGCAGCTGCTGCCGCAGCGGGGGCTGCCTGGGGGGGCTGGGGGGGCTGGGGGGGCTTGTTGCGTTGAGAGGGTAGCGGCCCGTGGCAGGACACGCAGAGGTAGGTGCCGTCGGGGAATCGGCCCTGGATGTAGTGGACGGTGCGCTTCCTGTTGGGCAGGTACACCTCCGACAGCACGCGGTGGGCTCCCTCGGGCATCTCCTTGTCCAGCTCCATCCTGCGTTGTAAGCGTGTATGTGTGTGGTTACTCACTCGTTATTAGCTAAGTGCATACCATCCACACATAGGTATCTACCTGGATTTGAATCGGTTGGTGCTGCCGCTCGTTGGCGACCGTGCCTGCGACGACGCGCCCTCCTCCTTGAGATCATCCACAAACTCACGCAGGGGAAGACACGCAGGGACGTACCTGTGCCATCCATCCAGGCAAACAAAGGGCTCGACCATTGGCGCGTCTCGTCTCGTGTGTGGCTAGCTAGTGAGTGCCTCACTCACTTGAGGAGTCGTCGCTCGCCCGGCCGAAGCTCCTCGTATTCCTTGACGAACTGGATTGCCTCACGCTGCACCGCCTTGGTGCACTCTGCACACACATCACATCACACGCAGCTGATGGAGCGTAATCATGGTAGCATCCATCTGCCGCAAATATCTGACTGACTGACCCATGTTAGCCCGATCCGGCTGCAGCTCAGCCCGGGTGAAGTTGAGGCCGATGGCGTCAGACTCGTCGGGCGAACCAAACACGTGGACACGACCTGCAGGGAGGGACCACACAGCAGCACTGTGTTAGCAGGTGGCCGGCCATGTGTTGGCTGGCTGAGCCGTCTGCCTGACCGACCCGACCTGTGTGTGGGGAGATCTCGAAATAGTGCTTGCGCACGTCTTCCTCAGTCTCGTCATCATCACCCTTGCTGTCCTTGGCCACATCAGAAGAGGCTGCTGCAGCTGGGGCTGGTGCTGGTTGGGCCGCCGCTGCTGCTGATGCCTTCTCCTCCTCCTCCTCCTCCTCCTCCTTGGGTGCGGCGTTGGTGTCCTCGGTTTGCTGCTCTTGCTCTGGCACGTCAGGCTGGTCGGGCTGGTCGGGCGCTTGCGCCTTCAGCCCGTCGAAGTGCCGTTCGGGGCCGTCCACCGCGGCTGACACGTCGTCGATGCTCTGCCCAAACGTTTGCCAACGGCTGAAGGGCACAGCCCCACACACAATCCATTCCTTTTTGAACCATCTCTGTGTGTGTGTGTGTGTGTGTGTGTGTTGATGCCTGGCTTACACTATGTCCATATTCTGAAATCTGAATGACAAGCGGTCGACCTCCAGTGACAGCCGGTCCCCCTCATCATCCCTACTCGCATCGCCCCTACGCCGCTTGCCGGTGCCCCGCTTGCTGGCCTTTTTGCTCAGCCCCGCCTTGGTGTCCAGCGACTCGACCGTGGGATCGACCTCGCCAGCCATGAGGTAGTAGATGTTGACGTTGCGCTTCTGACCACGGCGGTGCAGCCGGCCCTCTGCCTGGCCCAGCACGTGGGAGTCATCGGGCAGCTCCACAAAGATGCCCACTGAGGCAGCCGACAGGTCAATCTGATTGACACACACAGAGAGGGAGAGAGGGAGAGAGGGCAGGGCATGGTTGGATTGTAATATATATGTGTGGTGCGGTGCGGTGCGGTGTGGTCACTCACTGACCCCTTCGTTGCCGGCTCCGATTGAGATGAGTGCCAGCCTCACGTTGGGTCTGCGCTTGAAGTCGTCGAGGAGCTTGAACCGATCCTCTGACAAAGTGGAACCCTGCACACACCACACCACAGTCAGACACGGTGAGTGAAGTGAAGAAGTGTGTTAGACAGTGCATGGCATGGCTTTAATGGCTTTAGGTAGGTATGTATCTCTCTCGCCTGAATGCGTATCATCTGCACCGGCCCCTCTTCGCTCTTGAGGCGATCCAACACCCTCCGCAGCAAACACTGTCGACCGACAAACAGCATCACACATGCACTTACTTGGCTATCCCTCCCTCCGTCGGCCCGTGTGTGTTGGCTCACACTCAGTTTGTCGAGTATGTGTAGGTGGTGTGCGAAGATGACAAACTTGATGCCGTCGTCGCTGTTGCGGAGCTTGTCCTCTGTCCAGTCGACCGCCGCACTCAGCTTGGCGATGCCCACACGCTCCCAGTCGGTCTTGACCTCTAACAACACGTCCTCCACGCTCCGACTGTTGTACCACACCTGCAACGCAAGGCACACACCCACAGATGCATCGATGGATGGGATGCACACACATTCCATTCACGAAGCCAACCCGGCCCTTTGGTCACGTCACCTTGTCTTCTTTGCGTTTCGGTTTCTGCGGTTGCTCCTCTCTCTTGGCCGCCTCCTCACGCCGCCTCCGTGCAGCAGGGCCCTCGTCGACGCCGCCCAGGCACACCTCCTCGTCGCCCGACCACCCATCCTTCTCTTCCTGCTGAGCTGCATGGTCCTCGTCATGGTGCCCCTTCCCCTCTACATCCTGGTGCTCTCCCTCCTCTATGTCTCTGTCTATGTTGGCGGCATCGGTGCCGTGTTCGTCGTGCTGGCTGGCGGCCATCGCCTCGAGAGTGTCGCCGTCAAGACCTACAGAGAGAGGAGGGGAAAAGGATATGGGCGAGGCGGGGCGAGGTGAGATGAGATGAGATGTGTTGTTGGGCTGGCTACCGACCGACTCGGACGATTTGTCTGGTGAATGGTGTGAGCTCGGTGAGCACGTCGCATTTGAGTCGGCGAATCATGACCCCCTCGCGCAGCAGCAGGTTGAGCTCCCATGGCCGGATGCACCGCCCGTAACGCTTGTGGTTACCGAAGCGACGGGACGCCTCGCAATACAGACCTGCACACACACAACACCGACCGACCGACAGGGAGCACGTCACCTGGGTGCCTTTTCTTTCCTTTGTTTTCTGTGTGGTGTCCTCCCCTTTTTACGTCCGAATCCTTGTGCGCCTCCCTGGCTGGCGAAGACGTTGTTGTTGAGAGAACACACCTGCCTGCCGGTTCCAACAGAGACTTGGATGTGTGGATATGAATCAATCCATCGGTGGGTGGGATGCCAGTCTGTCTGTCTGTCTGCTCTGCTTACGCGTAGATGGAATACGGCTTGGTGACACTGGGCGTTCCAGACAGACACACCGCCCTGCAGACAGACAGATAAACACGGCAGGCACATCAAGAGAGTTATCTGATCAGCACAACGAGTACTCACAGTGAGTACCGTTTGCATGACGACTTCCAGAGAAGCCTTTTGCAGACTTTGACGAAGCTTGGCTCCTGCCCAACCTGGTCGGGAATCCGCACACGGTGGCTCTCATCCTGACAACCACAAACAATCACACATCTTGGTGGGAGAGAAGGTCGGTTTGCGGCGGCTCGGGGCTCTGACTGACCATGATGACCATTTGGAACTTTTCAGTCCGTTCCGAGATGGCGCTGCTGTACCGCTCCTCGAGATTGCGGGCCATGTCATATGAAGTCACGACAACCTAACACCACCCCCACCAACACACCGTATAGACACACACAAATATGGCCGGCCGCAAGTGTGTGTGTGTGTGGCCTACCCTGTAAGACCCCATTTTGCAGTCAGCGGCGTTGTCCTGCCCCATGACGACGAGCAGGTCCCGGGGAACGAGCTCGTCGGGCAGCCAACGCTCCAGCTCGTCAGCCCACACGTGACGCATTGACGCCGGCGCCTGACAACACGCACACACAGATATGCGTGAAGAGCCAGACAGACAGACAGACAGACTGGGCGAGCCTCCCCTTTGTATCCACTGACCACGATGAGGCATGGGTAGGCCTGGAAGACCTGCAGCAGTGAGATGGCCTGGAGAGTCTTGCCTGCGAGATGGAAGGAAGATACACATAAATGGCAGATTGGGTGGGTGGGAGGGTCGTGTCGTCTGCCTGTCTGTCTGTCTGTCTGTCTCTGTCCCCCACCGAGTCCCATTTCGTCGCCTATGAGCACCCGTCCGTCTCGCCGGACGGCGTACTTGAGCCCCTCCTTCTGGAATGGGTGCAGCGTGCTTTTCAGCCGGGCAGACAGCCGCTCATCCACATACGCCGCAGCCGCCTGACGCAACCCACGACACAGCAACACACCACACCACAGCACACTGCATTCGTAAGTTTGTCCACGTGTGTGTGTTTGGCTGACCTCTTCGGTCATGAGTCGGCCATGGTGGAGTGTGAAGTACTGCAGCGTGTGCTTGGGGATGGCGGCCACGTCCACCCTCTGCTTCAGCGTCTCATACACACGTGTGTACAGCCTCAGGGGGTACACGAAGCTACGCCTCGGCTCCTCGCCACCCTTGACCCAGTCGCCCCGCTGCCCGTCACTCGTCCACCTCACGCCCCACTGTGACAGCCCTTTTACTATAGCCCCCAGCTGGTCACCGAGGAGGCTCTCGCCCGAAGTGTCGGGGTACACGCGGAAGTGCGATGCGTCCTCCATCTCGAGGATGACCCGCGGCCCTTTGTCGGCCTTGGGCTCCCTGCCCTTGCCGTCACACGTGGGCCTGGCGCATGGGTAGAAGATCCCATACCTCCCTGCCCGCTCGATGCAGGGGCCGAAGCACACGGGGCACCGGATGTCCTCACGCAGCCCGTCATAGCCACCACCCTCCCAATCGCCCTCAAGATTCATGTCCATGCCCTCCTCATCATGCCACACGTCAGGAGCCGACACGCCGCGAGCGAGCCCCCCCGCCTCATGGACGGGCGATTGGGAGCGGTGAATCGGGGGCGGCCGCATCGAGTGAGACCGCTGGGCGAATGGCAGATGACCGCTAGCAGGAGTCTGGTCATCCACCTCTGGGCGTGAGTCACGTGGCTGCGATGGGCCCGCCGAGCTCTGCGAGGGGGCAGAGGGAGGGCGGTGGGCTTGGGGAGGGCGTGGGCGAGGGACAGGCCGCATGGGAGGGGACGGGTGATGGATGGGCGGCTGCACAGAGGGGGCCGAGTGACGATGAGATGTCGACACAGTGTCGCCCTGGTTGTCGGCATCAGAGGGACGAGGGGCAGGCACTGGTGCCCGTGGTGGACGGGCTCTCAGTGGCGCATAGAAGAGCTGACGCATCTGCCGCGAAGACAAGTGCACAGGCTCCGACGGGCGATGAGTCTGCGTGGCGTCATCGATCGGATCATCGCTGGGCTCCCCGTTGCCGACCTCCTCAATCGGGTCCTCTTGTGACATAGATGGAGCTGCCGCACTCCCAGCGGCCGCCCTCCCCCTCTCTCCTGCAAAGCCGCGTGCTGCATCTGGCGCGCTGCTTGCACTCTGACCTCCAGCCGGTCTCCTCTTCTCCGCTGCCCCTCTTGGACGCAGCGGCTTGGGCCGCGAAGGCTTGAAGGGGCTGCGGGCCGGATTGAAGACGAAATCACCAAAGCACGGTGCAGAGGGGTTGTCTGCCATCTTCCTCGAATTCTCATCCAAGTCCGATGTTTTCCTTCCTCCTTCTCATTTGCGAGCTCTTTGGCGAGCTTTTTGGATTTCCCCAAAGATCTGTGCGCTGCAGCAACACCACGTGTTGGAGATCAACACAGCAGAGAGATTTGTCGACGGGGAAAATGGTTGTGAAGAGGAAGGGACGGAAGGCGAGCGGGCCTATGGTGAGCTTCGCCGAGCAGGTGGAGGACACGAACAAGCTCTTCAAGTGGGATGATGACGATGACTTCATGCACATCGGAGAGTAAGCTTGATGAAAGACAACGGCGGGCGGCGTCACACAGGTGCTTGTTGTGTGCAGCGTAACCAGGTCGGTGTTGGAACGAGTGAGCCGAGATCAGCAGCCATACGTCCTCCAGACCTTCTGGAAGAAGACAAAAAGGCCCAAAGGGTAGGCATCGCTTTCAATTGGACACTAGCAGCTGCATACACATGGATGAACATCTGCAGGTTCTCGGTCAAGACGGCCTGCGAGGCCTTTGACCGTGTGCGGCTCAACCCTCATCCCAACATCGTGACCGTGGAGCAGCTGGCCGAGGACAGCAAGTGTGTCTGCGTGCTGATGGAGCGCATCTGGGGGCCCACAGTGTGCGACTATTTCGACGAGGGGGGGAAGGCGATGGAGAGCGAGGAAGCCTTCAAGAAAGTGATGGCCGGCATCCTCGGCGGTGTGGAGCATTTGCATCAGCACGGGGTACGTGGCTGCTGGCTGCACTCGGCGAGATGCAGACTTGTGGATGTCTTTGTGTGCGTTGATTGCAGCTAGTCCATCGTGACGTCAAGCTTGACAACGTCATGTTTGCCAACCAAGAGCCCTCTCGAGATGAATTCAAGGTGAAGCTCATCGACCTAGAGTTCGCGACTCCGCTCGGCAGAGAGGACAAGCTGGGCGTCGTGGGCACACACGCCTATATGGTGAACCAAGACTGACTGACACAATAATCAGCAAAGAACCGTGCGCGGCTTTCATCTCTTCATTCGCCGCATATATTTCTTTGTTAGTCTCCCGAGTGTTTCAGAGGGCGATTCACCCAGAGCTCGGACATCTGGGCCTGTGGCGTTGCGCTGTACGTGAAACACGGACGCAGAGAGGCGGCCATGCTCACCTACTCTCTGGCCATCCATGTGTGTATCTGTGCAGCTACATGCTTCTCGAGGGCCGTGCCCCTTTCCGACTGACGGAATGCCGAAACTCCAAGGAATCCATCAAGGCCATCAACAAGGTACGCAGCCACTCACTCAGCGAGCTTACAAGTAAGTGGTGTGCTCTCTGTGCGTCTGTCTGTCTGTCTGTCAGGGCTTCGCGTTTCGCAAGCGAACCAAGGAACGCTTCCCCGACGCCGTTGACTTAGTCCGCCGCCTGCTGCACGTGGACCCCAGCAAGAGACCGTCGGCCTCTGAGGCTCTCCAACACCCCTGGTTTGGAGAGCCTCAGAGGCCATCGACACAGACCCCGGACTCAGACACGTGAGACGGCAAAAGTTTGTCTGCCACATCCATTTGCACGCTTACCGTCCGTCTGTGGTTTCTCTGCGGCGTGCTTATCTACGCAGGCGAGACGCGGCCCCGCTGTCGCAGAATGCATCCTTTCGAAGGAGCCTCCTGAAGAAGAACGAGGAAGCACTTCAAGATGTTCATCTTGCGGCAGACCAGACGTGGAAGCCACCAGCGGCGTGCCGGTCATCCGCCCGACTTCACATGTGTGGATCCAAGAATGTTCGTTTCCTTTCCATGCAGGCCCGGGCAAGTGCCAGCCACAGCCGTTGTGTACCAAGCGCCGCTCTTGGAGGCTTCCGTGCCGCACAAGCCCCGCTTCTTCGCCCCGGCCCCCTTACAGCCCCCCTGGCACAGCCTCCCCCCTGCCGACCGCGACTCGGGATGGAGCGCTGCGGAACGAGAGGTCAGAAGGCCTGGAGGCAGGCAGACACGTGTGGGGAGCAACCAAGGGAGCGAGATTGCATTGGCATGTGTGTCTCTGTCTGTTGTGTGTGGTTGGCTGTATGCAGCCGGTGGAACGGCCGTGGTGCGAGAGGTTCTGTGATTTCATTTGCTGTATGACGAAGCCACCGTAGAGGTCCCCAACGGCGCCAAATCGTCCCCAACATGGCCACACCCTCACCGACTACTAATGGTGCTGCTGGGAAGGGGAGAGTGTAACTGTGAATGTGACGGCGTGGCGTCCATCCTGGGTGCTTGTCCGTTTAGCAGCATTGGTCTCGGTAGAGGAGTCGTGATGTGGAGCAAGACTTCAACCACGGCAACGACCGTCAGTGCGGCTAATTCCCGACAGCCCCCACACACATCACCTGTCTGTCTATTCATCAGCCATTGAGTGCTTTGACCACAGCGCCCCCGACGGCAGTACAGACCCGATCGACCCCCCTCAGCGGCTGGGAGAAGGCGATGCAGCGCATCATGGGCGGGATGGACACGACGAGCATCAACGACCCCAAGGCCCTCGTCGATGCATCCTGCAGGAGCAATTCGATGCAATGCAGCAGCAGCTGGCCGCACAGGCGCAGAACTACCAGCACTCCCATCCCCATCAGCAGCAGCACGCCCACACGTCCACTCCAGCATGATGAGCCTCCACTCCAGCACATGGACATGCTCCAACTCACGCAGCAGCAGTAGCGACAGTCGGCAGCCCACACCACCACCATCACGACCACTCACTCGCCGTCCAAGCGCCCAGCAGAGGCGAGTGAAGCCACAGCCACATCAGTCTGGGGGCAGTGCCGGCCATCAGCCGCAACAGCAGCAACAGGGTGGTAGCATGGCGAGCCCTGCGGTGCAGGCACACAAGCGGCATCTTCGTCAGGCTGGCCGCCTCGCCCGCCCACCCCTCCCTACTACACCAACCACCACCAGCACCAGTATGGCGGAGCCCCTCACCCCATGGACGGCGGCAGCATCGCCGTGAGCATCGGATCAGCCAACAAGAAACAAACGGTTGGTCGGTCGGCACACACGCAACAGATAATCCTTGCCTCTCTCTCCCTCCCTCCCTCCCTGTCTGTGTGTGGGTTGGGGGGTGCAGGTGCAGCGAAAGTCGGTGATCCAGAGCCCCTCCCAAATGGCATGCACAGGCGCCCGACACCCCCATACACACCTGGACAACACAACACGGCCATTCCCTGTGTGGGATGTTGGCTGACACACAGGAGCCGTTGCAAGCTGTGTGCCGACCAGTACGGCAACTACATCATCCAACACGTCATGCAGCACGGAAAAGCGGAGCGAAGAGGGTCAGCCCTCCTCCCCCACCCCCTAACACACACACGAGGACACATATGGACAAGTGTATCTTGTTTGTGTGTTATTGCTCGTGCTGCGCACCAGCTTCTTCGCCAGGTACACTAGGACCCTCCACACACACACACGCCACGCACCATGCATCCACACACACACCTGTGCCTCTCTGTGTGTGTGTGTGTGTGTGTATGTGCGTGGCTATGCAGTCAGTCACCATTACTTTGCCTATGTGACCGGCGCGCCTCTGTACGCCATGATGTGGGACCGATACGGAGAATACGTCGTAGAGAGGACGATCGAAATCGCTTTCGGGTACGCTGTGTGTATCAGGACACACATGGTGGGTTGCCTGATGGTGCGTGCCTGCCTGCCTGCAGGCAAGCACATCGTGGTCGCATTGGGCCGTGCGATGCCAACACCACCCACACGTGGACGTTGTGCAGCGACTGCTCACACTCGGTCAGACGACTTCTCATCTCTACTCGGCGAGTGGACATGGTCAGCGGCTCAAACAGCACTGCACACGGGACAGTGTACACTTGACATGTTCGCCCACAGACGTGGTGTTGCTTTCATGACATCTGCTGCTGGCTCTATCGCAGCTGCGCTCTCTTCTTCCCCACACTCAATGGTCCATCCCTTGGTGAGCCCGCACACTCTCACGCAACAAAAACATGCAGACTCGGGTATTGTATGTGTATGTGTGCATGTTTGCATGTGTCTGTGTGCAGGTGCGCATGCTTCTGTGCCGAAGCCCTTCGCCGAAGATGTCACACAGACGCAGAATGAAGGAAGACAGCAATCGCTCCAGGCGTGATGGCGGCAGTGTGGGCGATGGCGGGCGTGGGAATCCGATTTGGTCGAGGGTCCATGCGGCCGTGTCTCTCTGGAGCTGCACATCCTCTACAGCCAGGAAATCAGAAGATGACGGTCTATCGGATGCAGCATATGTGCGGCAGCGGACCAAGGCGTTTCTCTGTGGACTGTGGGGGGTGGTTGCCCTGGGTCGTTCTGTGTTTGTGCGGGTGTGGGTGTGTTGTGGTTGGGTTCGGTGATTGACATACTGAATTCCGCAAAGCGACATGCTGTGGCTGTCCACGGCAGTGAGTGCTGGGAACACTGTGCGGCTGACTGAATTGATTCGCTTCCCTCCTACTTCTCTGTATGCTTGCTCGATGCAAACAAAGACAGAGACTCTGAGCTAGACCAGCATGCAGCAGCCGGCCTTGAGACGAGACGCCCACCAGTCTGGTGCTTAGTCTCGCTGGGCAACGAGGGCTACGTAGGGTGGCCCTGCATCGCCCCTGCTCTCCTACTCAGAGAGAGAGAATATATATTTGACCGTCGCATCCATGCACTCGCTTGTCCACACATCGTCCCCATGAATCTATCCACACATGCCATGCACAAAGGTCACGCTCACTCATCCGATGAGAACACGGTGTTCTGAACACCCCAACCGCGTCCGTCGCCCCAACACTACGCCATGACTGCTCTCTTACTCAGGACCGCAAACTTCAGCACAATTACTTCAGCAACGTTGACATGCGTTTCAATCGATGAGCTGCAATCACTTCTGCCTGCCGACCCGCTGCGGCAAGATGGCACGGCGCCAAAAGGCATCGCTCCTAGGCTTCCCCCCCGATGAGTCGGAACTGCTGTCTCAGTGCATGAAAACACGATGAGTCGGAACCAGTCCATGCATGTACGCATGCACGAGAGCCTGCAGACTCAAGGCCTTCTCTCCAGTGATCAAGATGGCCCGCAGAAACACATGCTTTCAGCTTGTTATTGGTTGCGTGCAGGCAAACGGGGCCGAAAGCCTAACGCCTCTTGGGTTTGCAGATCTGTCACCAGCACCATGAACACCCAAAGTAAACCACACAAAGAATTGATCCATGCTTGATGAACTGCTCTCTGGATCTGTTTCTTTCCTTGAAAGACATTCGCCGCCGCCGCCGCAGCAGCATCGCCGCCCACCACGAGGCCTTCAGCAGCGCGAGGCTGCTGAACGTGCTGAAGGCCGAGGCGCGAGAACTGAAGACAACCAGCGAGACGAGAGGGCGCGGCCTGGCGCTGTTCACCGTCGACAACAGCCTCCAGCGCCGCGCCACTCAGTACCACATCGACCCACACACGCCCATGTCAAGACAAACGGTCAATGGCGTCACACACTCCCCTGCCCTTCCCGCCCCCGTCCCATCCCACTTCACGACCCGGGCTGAAAGGGAGACGGCATTCATTATCTTGAAGGCATGCAGTTTCTGTGCCATCTTACCTGGTGCAAGCCGTTCACGAAGTAGTCTTTCGGGAAGATTGCGTTCTTGGCCTCCGAGATGACGCGATTGACCGTTGATGTTGACATGGGCGTGTGTGGGTCGATGTGGTACTGAGTGGCGCGGCGCTGGAGGCTGTTGTCGACGGTGAACAGCCGCAGGCCGCGCCCTCTCGTCTCGCTGGTTGTCTTCAGTTCTCCCGCCTCGGCCTTCAGCACGTTCAGCAGCCTCGCGCTGCTGAAGGCCTCGTGGTGGGCGGCGATGCTGCTGCTGCGGCGGCGGAAAGTGGACTCAACTGTGGGGGTCTGGGACAATTTGGTCTGAGAGATGTCTTTGTGGCGTCTGTGTGATTTGGGGGAGTGGGAGATACAGCATTGAGACTTTGAAGGGAGACGTGACATTGATGTAAGACGCTCTGCCTGTGAATGCAAATGTCTCGTTCATTCATCAGTTTGTGCCAGCCGGCAATGGGTCAGCCATCTGTCTCTCCATTTGGCTAACGCCTGAGTGGATGACACACACGACGATACACATTCAATGCATTGCAGTGACACACATCGATGAGCGACTAGAGACACACAACGAGCGCAGGGAGCACTCAAAAGGCGCTACATGCACCCGCCTGTTCCTACGGTGCACACACCTGATTAACACATGACAGAGCCCACGCGCTTTCTCTCTCCCCTCTGCCGCCATCCGCTAGGTGACCCAATTGAGGTGACCTTCATGTCCCAATGTCATGTCCGTCACCCACTGCCAGCCCTTAGACTTAGTCACATACGGACACACGTACAGGGAGACAGAAAGAGAGCGTGTGTGCGTGGGCCTGCCTGTCTGTGTATTGCAGGCGGATGGATGGATGGATGGATGGATGGACGGTTGCTTACGGTCCAGTACTTCTGTGTGGTGTATCCGCCGTCTTGCATCAACTCAAATACTCTTTGTTCGACACCCTGCACACACAACCACACAACACAACACAACACGACACAACACGTCGCCGATGTGTGTGTGTATATGTGTGTATGGTGTGGATGGTGTGTATGGCAATGCCTTGAGGTCGGCGACCGTCGTCTTGCCCTGCCAAGACTCACTGACACACCCGTACAGACTCAGACTCACCTGATTGACGCATGACACAAGACACATCACACACACGTCTCATCTGCGGAAGTTCTGCCTGTGCTTTCCATTTGACGTCTGTTTACCTCCCGTCACGTCTATGACTTGGTCGGGGTGCGCCTCAGAGATATCGGCAGGCTGCAAGACACACACACACACACTCTCTCTCACAATCAGCGGCCGGCATAAGTGTGTGGTCCGTGTGTATGTGTGTTGGGTGTCCCTCGCACCCTCCCTCCCACCC